TTTAGTTCTGATTATAAGCTGATTTAAGCTGTTGCCAGTAGCCTCAGGTGACAGAGCAGCGGGGGATCAATCATCAGCCATAGAGAATCCCACTGAGATACTGCCAAGCAAGGAAACTGACTGGCAAAAGCAGACTGACTAAAAGAACAAAAAAGATACCAGATCATAATGTCCATCTCTGCAGTAACTGTAGTGAGTACGTCACACTGCAAAAAACCCACAGCAGCCGCAAGTCTCAGAGCTTGGGTCAACTGAGTTGGGCTCATGCTAGGGGGCTAAAAATAGCAGTGTAGACATTCCCCCTCAGGCTGCATCCCAGGCTTTGAGACGCTCCCTCCTCTCTGGGTTTCAGAGCCCGGATTCCAGCCCGAGCAGGAATGTCCACACACCTATTTTTAGCCCTAAAGCACAATTCCAAATCAATTGACCCTGTAGTGTTGAGCCCTGTGAGCCTGAGTCAGCTGCCTCAGGTCTCTTTTTGCAGTGTAGACGTACCCTCAGGCAGGAATTTCTGCACTGGTGACGCTTGGTTCCCATCGCTGGTATTATCCTCACGACCCGAAGGGTTAGAAACACTCTTCTTTTTAAATGACAGCCGTGACTCTGGAGCAATGGGGTGAATGCTGGGACAGCGGAGCCCTGGGATGCAAGCAGGGGCTTTGGTTGTAACCAGGTGAGATGGGACCAAACACAGCAAAGCAAAAGCTAGGCTAGACAGCAGGAAATTGCCTGCTGCAGGAGAGAGCTGTACAACTTTGCAGTTACCTCTCAAGCAAAAGTTCAGTTCACACCAGCTGAGGATCTGGTCCATAGACACAAATTTTCAAAAGCAGCCACTGACACCGAGTGCCCAGTGTGAGGCTGCTACAGGGCCCCAGGTCTTAGCCACCACAGCTCCAAGGGGCTGTGTCCAGTTGTACGCCCAAAAACGGAGTACGTAGCGGCCACTTTTGCAGCTGTCAGAATCAGAGATGGAGGAGCCCATGCGCGCCTCATTATTAAATCCACCGATGCCAACAGACTGTGCCCTTAGAAAATGGCAGGTGGATGCCCAGCTGCCTTTTGATTTGCAGGCAGCTGCTCTAATTCGTGCCCGCGCCTGATGATGCATGCAAAAAATGACAGCACCACCAGCAAGGCTCGTTTTAAAAAATCAGGTCACTTCATCCACTTCCAGACAGCACAGGTCTAGCCCCTGCTTCCTTGAGTGCTCTGTTCACTCCAATTATTCCAAGCAACAGGACTTCCCCTGGGAGGCAATTCCACAGCTTAATAAATCTCATTGTTAACATTGCTTTATTTTAGGCTAAACACTCTTATCTCATTCCCTCTGGGTAAGCTATGCCCCTGGGGCCTTGTATCATTTTAGTTTTGTCTCCTTCACTCTAACCTTGCTGGCTTTCCCAGGATCTTTGTTGATATAACATATACCAACAAACCATTTTATGGAGGGTTTTTAGCAGGGAGTAGACAGTTTGGCTGAGCTAGAGACTCTCCAGCTGTGAATGCTTTGATGTTTATCACTAGAAATGCTATGCTGTCTGAATTAATTATTCTACTTCCTCACTGCAGGGGATGTAGGCCGATGGCTAAAGTCAGGGTATTTCCACTGCGATGGGAAGAAATGGTTTTCTTTGGCCGGGGAAAGGACACAACACAGAAAAATCGCCGGCCGGCACCCGGTGTTTGAAATGGACTGCACACAGCAAATCTGATCTGATCCTTATCCCCTTATTACCACCCCATGTTATCCACATCAGGATGGCCCAGTGCTTAGGCTACTAGCCTGTGACTCAGGAAACTCTGGTTCAATTTCTTATTCTGCCACAAGCTCCCTCAATGACCTGGAATAGGTCACTTTGACTCTCCATTCCCCCTCTGCAGAATGGGTACAATAGCACATCCCTACCTCCTGAGGTGTCTGTGGGGATAAATATATTAATGACTGTGAAGTGTCCAGATGCTATGGTGATGGGGGCCGTATATACATATTTAATCCACCTTCACGGGAATTGTCAGCCAGAGGAAGATATTCAGCATTTGGCACCTTCTGTATAAAATGGTGACATATTTCTGCTCTTGTGCTAAGATGGCGCCAATGGACAGATCAGAGTGAAGGTTTTCTTAACGCAATTGTAAAGAACAGCAAACTATTGTATGTAAAGGTCAAAGGAAAAATGGATCCCCAGTATAACTGTTGACTTCAAGGGGTTTCTGTAACCTGCTGTTAATTTGAGAGATTGTGCAGAAAATGTGGTATGTACTTGCTATATTCCAGAATGCAAGATCCTTTCCATATGGACCAATATATATTGAAATATAGATACATAATATTGTTTTATAATATATTTATTATTCATTGTCTCTAAGCATATTGAAGAGGCTATAATAAGGCTAAGACCCATGGGAGTTAGGTGCTTAAACACCTTAAAAACCTAGCCCTACGTGTTACCATGAAAGCTATGTTATGTTGTTAGGGATATAAAATGCATTTAAAATTAATAGGATAGAATTAATCCTTCTCTTGCCAAATATAATACCTAACTCAACAATACCAATTATACAGGACCAGGAGAGGGTAGGTGATTTTTCTACAAATGACTAAAATGGACATCACACCTGGCATTAATCTCACAGGGTGATGTTTAGTTGAATAATGATTTGAGAAAAGACAGCAAGTATTATTGTTGCTAATCATTTCCATAGCGCTGGAGTTTTATACAACGGATCCCTGCCCCCAAAGCGCTTATTAATCTGATTGTTGATGTATTGATTTTGATAAATGAGTGATGCCATGTTTACATTGGGATACCTTCATCGAGTGCGCCAAAGTCAATAGGACAGACATGGCCAGTAGTTTCTTACTCTGAGATGATTTCATGGAAACAGATGATCAGAAGAAAATGTCGAGGAAAGCATTGCCAGAATTGAGTCCTATTATTATTTCTTAAATATCCGATCATGGCTTTGCTGATACAGTATAATGAGCCTGATCCTTAGCAGGTGTAAATCAACACACTCAATGAAGCTAGATCAGTTTACACCGTAAGAGGATTTGGTCCCTTGAGACTTCACTGCATCAATAAAGCCATTGCAGGATAGTTAAGAAATAACAATAGGACTGGATTCTAGCAACAATTGTTTTCTTCTGAATGGTCTCCAGTGATTAAGTGATTAAGAATAAAGGACAGAATTCAACAGACACATGGTGATCTGGGGCAGGGGGGCGGGGGTTAAAGTCAGGCTATTAATAATAATTAATTCATTGTGAATTTAGTGCTGGGAAAAGGCTCTAAATTTACAGCCCTGGAGACTGAATTCGTCTAGTTATGCAGGTTCAGTAAGGGACCAGCAATAGGGCTCAATGCTGATCTTTAGGGCTATGGAAGTTCAGGCTTCTTTCTATCTACTGAGCGAGGGGGAGAACCAGCAGCAGTTGTGATGGGGCGGGGGGGGGAAGAAGAGGTTGTGACATGGAAACTGTCTCACTGGGAAGTGGGATGAGACTCTCCCTCTCCCCCCGTCCAACAAAAATAATAAATTCATTTCCCATAAAATCCTCATCAGCATTCATTTCCCAGGGCCACGCCCGAAGATCACTTTAAGAGAAGACTGCTCTAAGAAAAGGTGCCATGCCCCCAATTACACAGGGCTGCAGCGAGCAGCAAATAACCTGATTAAGAAGTAAAACAGGCCGTGGCAGTTGGCACAGTTACACAGGAAACAAACAATACCACAATAATAGGTCAATCAATAGTAACAGTCTGAACAAGAGGATTTATATGCTGGCTGGGGCAGAGATCTGTTTTGTATAAAGTGCCACACGCATTTCTGGGGCTGGGTGAATAATAAATAATGACGCTGATGCTATATGGTGCTTTGATTAATTTAATTAGGGGCCAGATCCCCGGCTAGCGTAAATGGCCGTAGCGCCAGCTCTTGGGTAGCGCTATGCTGATTTACACCAGATGTGCGCCTGGCCCTTCATCTGGAAAACACTAGATCCTCTCAGCCTGAAGGATGCCCAAAGGGACTGCGATGTGTGGGGAGCAGGAAGGGCCTCCCTAAAGCAATCAGTTCTGCACTGGGGACCCCGACAGAAATTGCTCGGGTGCCTTGTCCTCACTAGATCACGCTACACGGGGCCCGACTGTTCTACGCTTAGGTGGTATCCAGAGAAGAAAGGGCGATGGCTGCTGATATTGATAGCAAGACCCCCACAAGAGAGCATAGCAGTAACGTAACACCTCTGCACCTCACCCGCGTCCTCTGGAACATGCCCCTCTGCGTGAGAATGGCCATTTCTAGAGCCACATCTCTCTGGCAATCCCCACTGTGAGCCTGTCCCTCTGCCCGGGTAACCATCCCTTGGCCTCGCCGATACGGCTCTACATTCAGTCTCACCTCCCTCTGTACCAGACGGAGCCCCCCAGTTCCACCTCAGGACCCCATGGCCACCCTTCCCTATCCCAGCTCTGTCTCCAGGAGTGGGGGGGACAGGAGCTTATCTGGCCTGGCTGCCGCACAAGGGTCAGGGTTAGGTGCCACGCTAAGCTGGGCTGGACAGCATCTCTGCAGGCGGGAAAGAACAGGACATTCCCAGCCAGATCTCTTCCCTCCCACCAGCCCTTGCTGGGGTATTTGCTGGGAAGGGATGAGGGGGCTGGCTCTGCGGGGTGCTATGTATCCTGGGAGGGGGTGGAGGGAAAGAGGAAGTGAGTGAAGAAGAGGGGATGGGGCCTCACATCTCGCCCACCTGACGGCAGCTTAGAGACCTTCCCCCCGCTGTGCCTATGATGTGGGAGAAGGGAAGACTTCAGTCCCCAGACCTACCCCAGCTGAGGGCCTGGCCCAGAGTGCGTGCAATGCAGAAGGCTGAGAGGAAGGGCCGGATCCTACAACAGTGCTTTGGCCGGAGAGCTCGGCCAAGAGGCTCAATCCATGGGGATCCTGGCCCAGAGAGAAGGGAACGAAGCGGGGATGGAGAGAGGGCTGGGTACCTTGTCTGGGCGCCATCAGGAAAAGAGCCACCAGAGATACCCACAGCACGTCCATCACTGTCACTGGCACAGGCTGCAGCATGATCGCATTATAGGCTGGGAAGGGAGGGCCAAAACCAGGCTCTTTCGTCGTTCTCTGTCTGGTGTGTGGCTCCCACACAAGACTCTCTCGCTCTTGTTTTCTGGCTTGTGGTTGCAGTCTCCAGGAAGCCAACTCAGCATCTCAGGGGTGGGGAGGGAGCCCCCAGCACGGTGCTGAAAGGCAGCAGGGGCGGCCGCCACCTCTGCAAAGTGCAGCAAGCCTGAAAGCAATTGGGCCGGGCGAAAGCAAAACTAGGTAGTGGAAATGGGTTGCAGGCCACATGTCAGGAGCCGACCCCAAGATTCGCAGGGACCCCAGGCCCAGATGTCAGGATTCATCCGGATCCCCAGGGATCCCCCACACAGGACATGTGTCAGGATTGCACCAGCATCCCCAAAGACCCATGCCCAGACTATACCTCAGAATTTGAACTAGGATCTCCAAGGACCCTGCACCCAGATTGCGTGTCTGGATTGACCCCGATTGATGCCCAGAGACCCCCTTACAGGCTGCATGTAAGGATTCACCCCCGGATGCCCAAGGACCCCGCACCCAGACCGCACCTCCAGATTAGTCTCGGGATACCCAGGGACCCCGTGTTCAGGCCTCAAGTCCAGATTCACCCCAGGATGCCCAGGGTCTCCATTCCCAGACCATGCATTAGGATTCGCTCAAGGATCCCAAGGGACGCCACTTGCAGGCTGCGTGCCAGGATTCACCTCTGGATCCCCAGGAATCCCACGTCCAGGTTGTGCATCAGGATGTGCCCCGCAATTCCCAGGGACCCCATGCACAGGCCATGTGTCAGGAATCGCACCTGGATCCCCAGGGACCCCGCGACCAGACTGCATGTCCGGATTCACACTAGGTTCCCCAGGGACCAGGGGCAATGACTTTCTGGTCATATGCCCCATCTTGTCTCAAAGCAGTTCCTTCTGCCATGGCCCATTCAGCCTCTAGGGGGATCCTTCCCCGGCACTTGTGTTTGCTGCTCCTGGTATTTCACCACATGAGTGGCTGGGTGGGCATATTGCTCGTGCCGGCTGGGTTCTGGGCATCCCTCAAGAAGCAGAGCCAGTGCCCTCCTAGGATTGCTGGTCCTGTGGGACTGACAGGAAGGGGCGCTTCTGATGGCACTTTGGTGTGGACGGCCCAATAGTGAGCCTGTCAGGAGCCCTGTTTGAAACCTGACATTCTCCCACTGGCATTCCCGGCATAGCACTTCTCCTGTTCTAGCTTCGGGCATTCAGCACCATTATAGCCACTTCTCGGTCTTCCACCCACTAAGCCGGGTAGACACCTGCTCTAGGGCTTCTTCTGCCCTTCTGAGCCAGCCATCCCAGTGGAGCATTGCTAGGTGCACTGTGCTATTTTGACGATGCTAAGCACGGCTCCTTCCACTCCCCCGGGGCTTTCTGCTATCGAGTTTGTTGCTATTCGCTCTGACGCTCCTGCTCACCCGTCTGACTGTGGCTAGTCAGGGCCTGATGTGGGGCACGCGAAGCATCTGTCAAAGGGAACTGCTGAAATGTCACACGCAGGACACCTGGGGCATCGGCGCCCCCCTCCCCCTGCCGTGCCTCAGATGGCATCAAAACACATGCTCCATTGAGCTTTACCAGGCTGCCCTCTCGAGGAGGCTCACTGACATGGCATAGAGATGCCAGGGGGCCGGGGCTGCCATGCACAGCTGGGAGAGGTGTGGTGCGGGGGGGGGGGGTGGTTTCCCCGTGGGCTATTTACCACTGCCCTGTGAAAGAAGGAACCCCACTGCAGAAGAGCGACTCACCAGCTGTCATGCCCCCGTGTGGCTGGGCACAGCATAGCAGGCTCTCTTCCTCTGCCAGCCTTTATCCACAGCTCTGCGGTGGTCTGCTTCTTGGGACTCGGCCCTGCAGCCAGAGCATGTATAATCCCACCCCTTCTGGGGTAACAGAGGGTCCATCGCCTGGCGGCCTCACACCAGCTCTTCCACTCTAGGCTTGCCGGTGCTCCTGCCCCTTGTGTCAGGGGGTTTCACCCCAGCTTCACCGTAGCCAGTGGGAGAACCCAGGCCCTCCTTCTACTCCAGGTGCCAGCCCAGGGGCCCTAAAGCAAGCAGCTCATGTCTGCTCCCTCAGACCTGCTGCTTCCTCCCTGAGCTACTTCCTAGCTGAGTCTGTCTCGAGGTCTTTCCCAGCTCTGCTCCTCTGCACCCTCTTCCCAGGCTCTGCGACGGTCTCACCTGCTCTTGTAGTGAACGACACCTCCCAGGGCTTTCTCCCTGGCGGCCCAGCTCCTGTCTGCCTCTCCCCAGGCTTGCTGTGCATCCATGTCTCTCTCCCGCACTGCCTTGGGCCTCTTTGCCTGCAATCAGCCACCCAGCTCCACCCCAGCTGGGCCTGCAAACAGAATTACCCCACCTTCCCTCCAGGTGCAGACAGGTTGGCTATCTGAGTGCCCATGCTCCCATTAACCCTCTCTCTGCATGGGAGAGGGCGTACACCCCATCACACCCACAAACTCAGTCCCTGCGCCAAAGCCCGGGGAAGTAACAGGAACCTGTCCGTTGAGCTCAGTGGACTTTGGATCCAGCCCTGAAAACCTAAAGGATGTGGGTTGCCATTGTGACAGCTGCCCTCCTGGCGGGCACACCAGGAATTGAACTGGGGAACCTCTAGAGCATTTGCAGTAGGAGCTAAAAAGCAAAGGCTCCCTAGCTGGGGCTATCACAGACACACAGCGGCTATGGCTCAGGCACGGGGGGGGGGGGGGGGACATGTAACCCACACTCACCCGCGGGTTACATCACGTTTGGCTGAAAGTGACAGTGTGTGAGTGGAGAGGGTGATGGCTCCCACAGATGGGTGACATATTCCATCTAGTAAAGCTGCATTAAGCCCCTGATCCTGCTCCCATTGAGGTCAGCTGCTAAACTCCTACTGACTCCAGTGGTGAAGGATTTGGCCCTGAGAGAACGTACAGGCTGAGCGCTCGAAAGGGAACATGATACACATCTATCGAACAATGACTGGTCTAGAGAAGGGAGATCAGGCACTTCTGCTCTCCTTGCCTCCTAACATAAGAACGAGGGGACACTAGATGAAAGGGGGAAAATTCAAAGCCAGTGAAAGGAAATACTTTCCACACAACATGCCATGAGCCTGTGTAACTCACTGCCACTAGAAGTTGTTGAGGTTCAGAATTGAACAAGCTTCCAAAAGGGATTGGATGTTTATATGGAGATCAAGAACTTCCAGCGTTACCATAATTAGTGATAACAAAAACATTGGCAGGGATATGTTTCAAGGTTTAAGCCAATCTCTATTAAAGACCAGGATGAACCCTGCTCGGGGACAAATTATCCCACCTCTGCCTCCTGCAGGGTTCTTTCACCTTCCCCTGAAGGGACAGGACAGTGGATTAGATGGACCGTGGCTCTGATCCAGTCTGGCAATTCCTCTGTTCCTAGTTGTGGCAAGCTGCAGGAGAGTTTGCTGTCTGCCTTCATCTCTATAACTAGCATCCGTTCTCGCTGTTCCGTGGGCACCAAGCACTGGTTTTGGGACTGAGATCCCTGACAGAGGGGCTTGCCCGCATGTTGTTTGTGGCCACCTCTCTTCAGGGACTGGGGTATACAAGCTGTACTAATAGCCTGCACTCCGCCTCATTCGAATGAGCGGCTGAGCTGCAAGAGCCTGAAACCTAGGACTGCTCAGCAGAGGGACAACAAAATCTTTTTCGCAGGGCATTCAATACTGGGCCCTCCTTGAAGCAAATTAGAGGAGACATCACAGGACAGATACTAAATAATTCCATGCTCCGTAAGAGGCAGCATCAAAAGGAGAAATCACAACATATATCAACTGGTAATAGAAACTCTGGGGGTGTATTTTTTATAGCAGCTGCTGCTGAAATACCAGTGCGAGAGATGACAGCTCCGAGGAAGAGCTGTCTGCCAGATGTCAATCCACACGACCATGTGGCCATACAAACCAACTGGGATTAATTTGCGGAGTGACTTTCCTGAGGCACGCTGTCAAAAGGGAATGGATAACTTTGCTGGCGAGAGGGGGCTCTGGCTGCACTAGTTACCCATGGCAGGAGGGGGAAATCAGGCAGGATGGGAGAGGTTAGAGTCTGAAGGACTTTAAAAAAACCTCAAGGGCCTGATCCTCAACTGTTATCAATCAGTGTCGCGGCACTGACTTCAGTGACGCCATGCTGCTGTGCAGCCATGGAAGGTCTGGTCCTAGGCTTGCTGCTTCAGGGCATAAACCAACCTCTAATGGGGGCTGGGAAGATGGTGATCCTACAACTATCAGCAGTCAGGGTCTTGGACCTTCTGAAACACTAGCCGGAGGCAGCACAGATGGCTCCCTGCCCTCATCCAGCGTGGCGATTCCAGTCCTCCTAGGGAGTCTCCTGTCCATTGGCAGGGAAGTTTGGAACGGAGGAGTGCACTGGACTTCCTCGAGAGGAAGAAGGTAGGAAAGGCCCTTCTGAAGAGCCAAAGCTAGGGGCACTGGAGAGAGAGACACACAATCTGCAAACCCCATACGGGCAGAAGGGAGGAAAAGGCTTTTGGGGGAGTTGGAAGGCCATGCTACGCACCGCAAGGCTTTGGGTAATGACACCTATCCTGTGTTCTGACACCAGGATGGTGCTGTGCAACATTCAAGACAGAAGCCCCATGGCAAAAGGCTCATCTGCAGCTCCATCACCACCTAGGTGTGATGGAGCTGAGGATGGAGCTGAAGGTCATAGAATCATAGAATATCAGGGTTGGAAGGAACCCCAGAAGGTCATCTAGTCCAACCCCCTGCTCGAAGCAGGACCAATTCCCAGTTAAATCATCCCAGCCAGGGCTTTGTCAAGCCTGACCTTAAAAACCTCTAAGGAAGGAGATTCTACCACCTCCCTAGGTAACGCATTCCAGTGTTTCACCACCCTCTTAGTGAAAAAGTTTTTCCTAATATCCAATCTAAACCTCCCCCACTGCAACTTGAGACCATTACTCCTCGTTCTGTCATCTGCTACCATTGAGAACAGTCTAGAGCCATCCTCTTTGGAACCCCCTTTCAGGTAGTTGAAAGCAGCTATCAAATCCCCCCTCATTCTTCTCTTCTGCAGGCTAAACAATCCCAGCTCCCTCAGCCTCTCCTCATAACTCATGTGTTCCAGACCCCTAATCATTTTTGTTGCCCTTCGCTGGACTCTCTCCAATTTATCCACATCCTTCTTGAAGTGTGGGGCCCAAAACTGGACACAGTACTCCAGATGAGGCCTCACCAAAGGTCCAGTCTGGGCTGAAAATCTATGGATCAGCTTGTCACCTATTTTCTGGCCCCTCCCCCAGGGCTCTCCAGAACTCCTCCGAGACAACTGGGAGTGACTCAGGGTGGTTATTAGTTAAATCCCTCTTGTTGGGAGCCCATTGTTTGCACCCGTTCCCATTTGGCTAGAACTGCTCTTGGGCAAGAGCTACTAGAATGAACTATTGTTTCCTGTTTGCCTCCATTTCCTTTGCTACAGGATGGTTTGTTTGGTTTTTTGTAATATCTCTGCCACGATGAGCTATTCATTTCATGTTTGGGATGGGAGATCCTGTCCTATGACAGTCTCCCACCAGTGCTTCTGCCCCTCTTGGCCTTAAGCAGGCCAGCTGTTCTTGGGGGCAGTGGGGCCTAGTGGAAAGAGCACTGGACTGAGACTCATGAGAGATGGGGTTTATTCCCAGCTCTGCCACTGGCCTGCAGGGTGACTGTGAGCAAGTCACTTTGCCCCTCTGTGCCTCAGTTTCCCTGTCTGGTGCTAATGATAGTAAGTGCCTTTGTAAAGAATGTTGAGATCCCCTGATAAAAGGTGCTAGGTATGATTATTAGGCAGAGGGAATCATCTTGGGAGAAGACTGGAGCAGGGGAAAGGAGAGTAAAGGGAAAGTTTGGGGAAGGGCTGGAAAAGCATGAAGAAGGGTGTCACACAGGGGGAAAAGGGCACAGCAGCAATCCCCTGAGAAAGGGGAACCCATGGGATGGAAGTTTCATTTCTGGGAAGGGAGGTGTCACATGATGTCTCCACTCAGCAGAGAAATGGGGAAGTGGGAGCTGGCCTGAGAGATCGGAGAAAACACGCCCAGGAAGGGTGAGACAGAGCATCTGCGAGAGCAAGAGACAGAGCAGGGAAGGCAGAGGCAGCCAGAGCCACAGGCGGACAGAGACTGAGAGGGGAGGACGGCCAGACAGAGCGTGGGAAGGGAAGGCTCAGGACAGACAGAGCAGCGAGGGCAGACAGAGCACAGGCTGAGAAGGCCAGGGGAAGTAGGAAGACCCGTGTGGTGCCCAGGCAGGGCGGTACATGGCCCGGGATGGTGGCAGAGGGGAGCGCCGGCCCCTGCTGGGGCAGGAAGAGGCCCCGGCCGGGGGTTTATGGGATGCCTTCGAGGGCCGGAAGGCGGCCTGTGCGGCCGTGCTGCTGGTGGAAATCCTGGAGCGGGCAGCTTTCTTCGGCATCGTCTCCAATCTTGTCCTCTACCTCAACAGCAGCAACTTCAATTGGGGAGGGTCACAGGCCTCGCGGGCCTCCCTGCTCTTCCTGGGCGCCTCCTACCTGCTCTCGCCCGTCGGGGGCTGGCTGGCTGACGTTTACCTGGGCCGCTACTGGACCATCACGCTAAGCTTCCTGCTCTACCTGGTGTCGGCCTGCCTGCTGCCCGCCACGGCCTCATCGGACGGGCGACTCTTTCTGTGCGGGGACATGCCGGCCTACTCGCTGCAGAATACCTGTCAGAACCAGAGTGGGGAGTGCCAGCAGTCGGCACCCGGCCACTACTGCGCCCCTCTGATGTACACCGGCCTGCTGCTGCTGGCACTGGGCATCAGCTCCGTCAAGGCCAACCTCACCCCTTTTGGCGCCGACCAGGTAACAGGCACGCCCTTCCCCTCCATCCCCCCAGGGTAAGCAACCTGGAGAGCAATACGTCCAGCACACAAAGGGCTACACACACACATACACACACACGCCCTCCCAAAGAGATTCCCCGGGGCAGGACCCTCACCCCGGCTAGTGCCAAAGGGTTAACGTTGCACACACACACGAGCGTGCATATGCATAGACACAGGCAATGCACACAATGCCTGCGCACAAACACACTCAGAGGCAATGCATGCAATGCGCGCGTGCACCCACACCCAGAGGCAGAGACAATGCATGCAGCACATGTGTGTGCACGGACGCACACACACACACACACACACACACACACAGGCAATGCATGCAAACAGACACACAAAAGTTTGCACACATGAATACCCATGCGCAGGGGCACACACATGCAAATACATCTGGCACACCCTTGCGCAAAAGCACATCCACGCAAGCAGCCATGCAGACAATGGCACACGTTGACCCCCTCCCCCTGCAAACTTGCACACATGTGAGAACACGTTTACATGAACATGCACAAGCGCGCATGTGCTTACACACACAGGCATGCAAAAGCACACATACACACACACACACACGGCAATGCAGGCACACACAAGTCCACCTGTGTGCTTCCACAGATTAATGCACATGGGGGGTGCAGGGGCTTTCCCTGTCAGGCTATGGGGGAGGGGGCTGTTTCTCTCTCCCCCCCCCCAAGCAGATGATGGGTAAAGTCTCCTCTTTACCACCCCAGAAACAAGCCAGAGTTCCCAGGCGTGGCTGGGGGCAGGGAGAACGTCCCTCAGGATGATCTCCCCTCCCAGAGCGCAAGGGGTTAATCCTCTCTGTCTCCCCCGGGAGTGAGGAAGTTCTCCCCCCGCAATCCGGGGAGGTAAGGGGTCTAACTGGGGGAAGGGGATTGTTTCTCTGGTTCATAGGAAATGGGGGTGGGGAATTAACCTCTTACGGGCTGTAGGGGGAGAATGTCTAGACCTCTTTAGGGGGCTGCCTCCCATCTCTCCTTCCCTTTGGGGAGCCAGGCAGAGCCTCAGCCAGGCAGGGGGGCCACCACCCTCCACACCCTCAGGGGGTGCTGTTGCAATGGGGCACCCTGATTGGGTGGGTAGGTGAGAGGATGGGAAGGGCTGGGGGACGGAGGGAGCAGGGGGCCGGGAAAGGGGGAAGAGGACAGGAAGGAGGGAGGCTGGGTCTAGGTTAAGGATGAGCCCCCACCCCGTGTTTTTGGCTCAGTTTTGGCCACGCGCTCCCTGCAGGTGGAAGTCCCTGGGGTGGAGGGGTGGTGAAAGTCCCCCTGCCAGGCCTAGAATCTGCTGGGCTCCCCAAAGGGCGGGAGAGATGGGAGGCAGCCCCCGCCAGGGATCTAGAAATTCTCTCCCCACAGCTCATAAAGGGTTAATCCCCCCCCCATTTCCTTTGGGACCCCCCCTTCCCACAGTGGGGACGGGGACGAGGTCCTCACTGGAAGAGGCAGAGCACAGCCTGGCTCACGCCGTCCTGCCTTGCGCTCCCTGCAGGTGACGGACCGTGGCCGCAACGCCACACGGCGCTTCTTCAACTGGTTCTACTGGAGCATTAACATCGGGGCCGTGATCTCGCTGCTCGTGGTGGCCTTCATACAGCAGAATGTCAACTTCCTCATCGGCTACACCATCCCCGCGGCCTGCGTGGCCTTGGCCCTCCTCGTCTTCCTCCTGGCCGCCCCCACCTTCATCACCAAGCCCCCTGCGGGCAGCCAGGTCTCTGCCATGCTCAGGCTGGCCTTCCGAGGCAGCTGTGGCAGCCGAGTGCGCCGTATCAGGTAGGGTGGGCGCTGGTGGCCCAGCTGCCCCCATCCCCTCTAGGGCCATGCTCACGCTGGCCTCCTCACGCCGTCTGTGCTCTCACCTTTCGCTGCAGGCCGAGCTCTCTCCAATCAGAAGCCCAGGGCGTGGATCCTCTCCTTGACGGTAAATCGCAGCCCCGGGCTCCTTCGTCCGAGGAGGATCTTGCCAACTTCCAGGTGATGGCCAAGATCCTGCCGGTGCTACTGACCTTCATTCCGTACTGGATGGTCTACTTCCAGGTAGGTAGCCGGCAGAGCAGCAGCATCAGCTGTGCTGATGCATAGAGGGGGTTGGCAGTGGGGTTGGCATCGAGCCATCCTCACGGAGCTTAGAGTTGAGGATCAATACCATCAGTGCTTGTGAGACCCTCAGATCCTCGGGTAGTGGAGGCTTCAAACAGGGGTGCTGCCTCCAGAGCGCCCCCTCGTGGCCAGGGGCAGCTCTGGCTCAATGTCCCTGAAATAATCCACAAAGGCTTCCTCCAAGCTTTTACCTCCACCCCTCTCCCAAGCCTGGTTTCATCACATGACCAGCACAGAACAATCCATCAAGTCCATCTCCACAAGAGCTCCTCAGCTCTGGTATCTGCTGCCGATCCCATTGGTCTGAGTCTTCAGCCAGCAGCCGTTCCCACCCCTCCCTAGCCAGAGGCTGCCCTTCCTCCCAGAATCGGCGCCAGGACTTTCCCTGAGTTGTCCTCTCTCGGGCTCCAAGAGGCCAGCAGCTCATCCCCCTATCTCAGGAGTGGGCAAACTATGGCCCGGGGGCCGCATCCAGCCCTTCAGATGTTTTAATCCGGTCCTCGAGCTCCCGCTGGGGAGCAGGGTCTGGGGATCGCCCCACTCTGGTGCTCCAGCCAGGGAGCAGGGTCAGGGGCTTGCCCTGCTCTGTGCATGCCGTGACTCCACATGGCTTCTGGAAGCAGCAGCATACCCGCCCTCCAGCTCCTACACATAGGGTCAGCCAGGGGGCTATGCATGCTGCTCCTGCCTCAAGCAATGCCCCCACAGCTCCCATTGATTGGGAGCCAAGGCCAATGGGAGCTGCAGGGATGGTGCCTGCAGACAGGGCAGCGTGCAGAGCCACTTGGCCGTGCCTCTGCATAGGAGCCGGGGGGGGGGGAACACAGGGACATGCTGCTGCTTCCAGGAGCTGCTTGAGGTAAGTATTGCTCAGAGCCTGCACCCCTGACCCCCTCCCATGCCCCAATCACCTGCCCCGGCCCTGATCCACCTCCCACCCTCCGAACCCCTCGGTCCCAGCCCGGAGCACCCTCCTGCATCCCCAACCCCTCATACTCAACCCCACCCCAGAGCCCACACCCCCAGCTAGAACCCACACCCTCTCCCACACCCGAACCCAACCCCCTGCCTCAGCCTTGAGCCCCCTCCTGCAGCCTAAACTCCTCATTTCTGGCCCCACCCCAGAGCCCACACCCCCAGATGGAGCCCTCATCCCCTCCTGCACCCCAACCCCCAATTTCATGAGCATTCATGGCCCACCATACAATTTCCATACCCAGATATGGCCCTTGGGCCAAAAAGTTTGCCTGCCTGCCTGCCTGCCTTTCTCTCTCTCTCTCTCTGACCCATTAACCCTCTCCTGGGGGCCACCCACACACTGCTCCCCTAGTCCTGGCTTGGCAGAGTTTCCTGGGGTAGGGTCGGGGTGGGGGGGGTGTCAGCCCATGCCCTCCTGCTGGGTGTCTCTGCCCTACCTCAGTGGGGTAGGAGAGGGGTTCAGTTCCCATGGGGGCCAGGGCATGCAGTGGGGATGGCAGGCAATGACCCCAACTCAAGGGGGAAGAGGAGGCACAATGCCCCTGGCAGCGGGGGTGGGGGGGGCGCTAAGTGACATCACTGGGGTGGATGATGAAGTCCCAAGAGGTGTGATGGGGGGAGGGATGTTCCATGAATCTGAGCCCCACAGTGACCTCCCTGTTACATTCCAGATGCAGTCGACTTACTATCTGCAAGGCCTGCACCTCTTCATCCCCAACATCTTCCAGCACAACAAGACAGGCAGCAGCGAGGGCAGCAGCTACGCGGTGAGGGGCTGGGGCAGACAGTGGCGTCAGTTCAGGGGCTGAGTGGCATCGCTGGGGCTGAGGATGACACCCCAAGAGGGGGTGACGGGGAGAGGGCTGGCGCCAGGCCAAGGGAAGAGACCACCTTGAGCCGCAAGGGTGAATCCTGCTGCCCATTCGAGTCGGGTGACATGCCCAGCCTGGGCAGGGAGGCAGGTCCAGGATATCACTTGCCCCTGGCAGCACAATCCCTCCTTTGTGAGAGGCCCAGCGTGAGCGGCATGTGATACTGGTTGTGGTTACCGGCCGGGCTGGAGACAGAACAGAAACCATCCCAGTTGCTTCCGCTTCTCCTCAGGCCCCGGGCAGCTGGAGAGGAGCAGGGGACCAGGAACAATTAGTGTAGCGGGGGTGCTGAGAGCCATTGAACCAAACTGTAAACCCTGTATCTGATGGACACCACTTCCAGCCAGAGGGTGCGGGAGCACCCCTAGTTCCAGCACCTATGGGTGGGAGGGGATGGGGAAGCAGGGGGAGACAGGGCTGGGAGAGGTAGGAGATTCAGAATAAGGGTTTTCAGTTGCTGTAGAGTCATTTCTCAAGGAGATGCCTGGTTCTGTTAGCCCAGGTGCTGGTTGTGACCCAGTTCTCTCTCCTTAGATCAGGGGTGGGCAAACTTTTTGGCCGAGGGCCACATCGGGGTGCGAAACTGTGGAGGGCCAGGTAGGGAAGGCTGTGCCTCCCCAAACAGCCTGGCCCCGCCCCCTATTTGCCCCCTCCCACTTCCCGCCCCCTGACTGTCCCCCTCAGAACCCCCGACCCATCCAACCCCCATGCTCCTTGTCCCCTGACTGCCCCCTCCTGGGACCCCCCGCCCTAAACCACCCCCCCCCAGGATCCCACCCCCTATCCAACCCTCCCTGTGCCCTGACTTCCCCAACTTATTCACACCCCTGCCCCCTGACAGGCCCCCTGGGACTCCCATGCCCTATCCAACCCGCCCCGTTCCCCAACCCCTGACCACCCCAGAACCTCCTCCCCATCCAACCACGCCCTGTCCCCTGACTGCCCCCCGGGACTCTCTACCCAACCCCCTTACCACCATGGGTACGCTGCCACTGCCCCCTTACCATGCCACTCAGAGCGGAAGGAGCTCGCAGCCCCGCTGCCCGTGCAGCAGCGTGGCTGTGTGGGAGGGGGAACAGCGGGGAAGGGGTCGGGGGTAGCCTCCTGGCCAGGAGCTGAGGGGCCGGGCAGGACGGTCCCACGAGCCGTAGTTTGCCCACTTTTGCCTTAGATCCGCAATGCCTGGTTCTGTTAGCCCAGGTGCTGGTTCTGACCCAGTTCTCTCTCCCTAGTTCCCTGATGCCTGGCTCCTGTTAGCCAATGTGGTAGTCCTGCTGATTCTGGTCCCGCTGAAGGATCGAGTCATTGACCCGTTCCTGGTGAGGCGGAAGCTGCTGCCCTCGGTGCTGAAGAGGATGGCCCTGGGCATGTTCTTTGGCCTCACCTCTATCATTGTGGCAGGTAACGCCTGGTGCCCGTGGCTAGGGAGGCCATGGCTGGTGGGTGGGAGGCTACTGCCCAATGCCAGGGCTGGAGCTGACCGGCATTGTTGGGGGATCCCAGAGGATGGCTGATAGACTCTCCCTGCCCTGAAATCAGGGGCCCATGGGGCCTTGCTCAGATGGGGCTGACCCCTTCTGAGCGTGTGTGGGGGAATGCCACATTGATCCATCCTGCCCCTCCTCGGCAGGCACCCTGGAGACCAAGAGGCTGCAGTATGTGAAGAACAACCAGACCATCTCACAGCGCATTGGAGAGGACATGTACACTGCCGCCACGCTGCCCATCTGGTGGCAGATTCCCCAGTACCTGCTCATCGGCATCAGCGAAATCTTCGCCAGCATTCCAGGTAACTGTGCTGGGTTTGTGCAGCGCCTAACGATGGGGTTCAGTAACGATAAGGCAGCACGGGTGAGGTGTGAAGCGCCAGGTGCTGGGGCTAGACTGAGCATGTGCAACGGGTCTGACTAACAGCCCCTTGCACCGTGCTGGGGGGGGGCGGGCGGGGGCAGAGAGCTCTACTACAGCTGTATCTTGGCAGGAGGTGATGGCCTCTGATTTCATGAAGCTAAGCAATACGAGGCTTGGTCTGTAGCTGGGGATGGGCGACTGATAGGTTCAAGGAGATAGAATCTCCTTCCTTAGAGGTTTTTAAGGTCAGGCTTGACAAAGCCCTGGCTGGGATGATTTAACTGGGAATTGGTCCTGCTTCGAGCAGGGGGTTGGACTAGATGACCTTCTGGGGTCCCTTCCAACCCTTATATTCTATGATTCTATGATTCTAAGGCTAGTGCTTGGGTTGGGACTGCCAGCTCAGCAATCTGCTGACATGGTAACAAACAGCCTGTTTGATCCCATCCCCTGGTGGCTACAAGCAGTGTCCATTTGCCCTAGTATTACTGAGGTCCCTCAGAGCTCTCTGCTCTCCCCCAGGGCTGGAATTTGCCTACTCTGAGGCCCCCAAGTCCATGCAGGGAGCTATCATGGGACTCTTTTTCTTCATTTCCGGCGTGGGCTCGCTCCTGGGCTCTGGGCTGTTGACTCTCCTCTCAATGTCGGAGCATGGCTGGATGGACTGCCCCAAGGACTACGGTGAGTGTGGGGTCCAGGGGCGAATACAGAGCCAAAGGGAGAGAGGCAGCCGCTCAGCAGAGTCGGGGGTGGGAAATGTATCCCTGGGGCCAACAGGGGGTGCTCGAGGCAGGTTGGGAGATAGGTCTGTTCTCCAGTCTCAGGTCTCATCATCCCACTGCCAGCAGGGGGAGCTCTCCATAGAGAGGGTTCTGCTGACAGTGCCAGGGGAGATGGGTCCCTGGGGCTGGGAATGTGGCAGAAGATGGTGTCTACTTGGTGCCAGGTTGCACTGATTGTGTAGGGAGAAATGTGCCCTGGGCTAGGGGTGCTGCAGGGGCTAGAGGTGGAGGGGACTGTCTGGTACCAGGAGGGGGTGCTCTGACGGCTTGCCCCTTGTTTCCCCAGGGAACATTAACAATTGCCACATGGACTATTACTTCTTCCTCCTGGCTGGGATCCAGACTGTGACCTGCATGCTCTTCTTCTGGATCTCTGGCCGCTACGAGAGGCAACAGCAGCCCAACTGCCACGCCTGTGTTGGCCACGAAGGGGACTGAGGGGACCCTGCCCCCCTCCAGCTGCCCCTTTCTGCTCAGTGACTTGCCCGGCTTGGGCTGGTGGATGGAACTACTCCCAAGCAGTGCAGCAGGGTCAGCAAACCTCCCCGGGGAAGGGGGAGGAGGGATGCCCCTAGTAGGACACCAGGGACTCTCACCCATAAGGCACCCATGGGACGCTGGGACAGCCCCAAGGGGGAGGGGGATGCCCTAAAGGGCAGAGCCCCCTCATGGCTCACTTGGGGGCTTGCTCTTTCTCCTTGTCGGAGACCCTTGGGAAACGTTGTCCTGCCTCCTTGGCTACCCCCAGGCTTTAAGATCCACCCTCCAGGCCCAGAATTCCTAAGGATTCCCTCTCTTGCCTGGGTTTTGCCATCCAGCAGGGTCCTGACATGGCCGATCTCCTGGGACGGGCACCAGTAAGGGGTTAAATCAACAGGCAGAAGGAACTTGAAATGAGGGGTTGGGGAATGATTCCCAGAGCCCAGGAGAGGGCGGAAGATTTGCCCCATCCTACACAAGGAAAAAATCTCCTTCTCAGCCCGTACTAATATCAGGGCTCAACTGGGCAAAGGCTGGATACAATCTCATAGAGTGGCAAACCTGCTGGCACCACTGGTGGATAGGACCTCAGAACTGCCATGATCCGTGTTACTCTGTGTAATGCTAAATGGGCTCTGATGGGGAGAGGGCAGCGGTGGTGGGTTGTGCCTGGCTGTTCTCTGGGGGTTGGTCCAAGTGGAGGTGTTTGTAAAGATGGAATTTTAGAGCGTGGGGGCTTTAATTTATTCTGGGGGGAGAGGGAGTTAGATAAAGGTGCTCCAAGCCACCAGCACCCGGTGGAAAAGACAGAGGGGTGAATGCAATGGCCCTTAAGTGCCCAGCCAGTATCTATTTACAATTTTATGACGCGTGAAAATAATGCAGGGAAAAGCACAGCAGAACTCAAAGCAAAAAAGTGTTCCTGTAAAAAAACAACACTCCACTGGAAAGAGATTTCTGTAAACGAACAAGACTTGCCCCTGGAGCCTTTGCAACCCACACACTGTGGGAGATACTGAAACGGAATGGCCTGTTATCAAGGATGGGGATTGCAGTTCATGGCAAGGGTCCACTTCCGAACAGTCTATAAGGGGTTGATACGTGATGGCTGGCTGTTCTAAGCAGTTTAAAAATATGACCAGTGTGTGCCAGAGCTGCTCTTGAGCACATCAGCAGAAGGTACTAGAGCTGGTTAAGTGGCTAGTAAGATTATTATGAGTACTGCCGTGTGCCGTTGCAGATGCAGAACAAGGTGCTGGTCCCTCCTCACCTCACCTAAGTCAAAGACAACAGACAGCTGGAGGAGCACCAGGAAACAATGAGGCAATATTGCTCAGTGGTCTCAGTGCACCAGTTGGCAAGTTTGTGGTAGGCAGCCCGGCAGAGCAGAGTTTGACAGGAGGATAAAGCAGATAGTTATGACGAGTAGCAGCCTGGGAGAGAGCACAAAGGTGCTTGTTTGAAAATTGACCAAGTGGGCGATTGCTGCTGGCACCACTGGCAGAGTGGCACGGGACAGAATGGACTAATGATCTATAACAAATTAATAGGGCTGTCAATTAATTGCAGTTAACTCAAGCAATTAACTCAAAACAATTAACTCAATTAAAAAAATGTGATTCATCACAATTTTAATCACACTGTTAATTGAATACCCGTTGAAATTATATTTTTGCATGTTCTTCTACATTTTCAAATCTATTGATTTCAATTACAACACAGAATACAAAGTGTACAGTGCTCTCTTTAGATTATTTTTGATTATCTTTTTTACAGTGCAAATATTTTTAAACAATAAGTAATATTTTTCAATTCACCTCATACAAGTACTGTTGTGCAATCTCTTCATGGTGAAAGTGCAGTTTTCAAATATAGATTTTTTTGTTACATAGCTGCACTCAAAACAGCTTAAAACTTTAGAGCTTGCAAGTCCACTCAGTCCTACTTCTTGTTCAGCCAATCGCTAAGACAAACAAGTTTGTTTACATTTATGGGCAATAATGCTGCCCACTTCTTATTTACAATTAAAACGAGAACAGATGTTCACATGGCATTTTTGTAGCCGGCATTGCAAGGTATTTACGTGCCAGATGTGCAAAACCAGTGGTTGGCAACCTATGGCCCATGTGCCAAAGGCGGCATGCAAGCTGATTTTCAGTGGCACTCACACTGCTCGGGTCCTAGCCACCGGTCCAGGGGGCTCTGCATTTTAATTTAATTTTAAATGAAGCTTTTTAAACATTTTAAAAACCTTATTTACTTTACATAAAATAATAGTTTAGTTATATATTATAGACTTATAGAAAGAGACCTTCTAAAAACGTTAAAATGTATTCCTGGCACACGAAACCTTAAATTAGAGTGAATAAATGAAGACTCAGCACACCACTTCTGAAAGGTTGCCGACCCCTGTGCTAAACATTTGTATGCCCCTTTGTGCTTTAGCCACCATTCCAGAGGACATGCTTCCAAGACTGATTGGACTTGTAGGCTCTAAAGTGTTACATTTTTTTATTTTTGAGTGCAGTTATGTAAAAAAAATAAATAACTCTACATTTGTAAGTTGCACTTTCAAAGAGATGGCACTACCGTACTTGTATGAGGTGAATTGAAATACAATTTCTTTTCTTTTTTACTATGCAGATATAGGTAACCAAAAATAATAATCTAAAGTGAGCATTGTACACTTTGTATTCTGTGTCTGGTGGCACCTTAAAGACTAACAGATTTATTTCAGCATAAGCTTTCGTGGGTAAAAACCCCACTTCTTCGATGCAGGAGTGAAAATGCATCATACCATGCATTTGAAGAAGTGGGTTTTTTACCCACAAAAGCTTATGCCCAAATAAATCTGTTAGTCTTTAAGGTGCCATCAGACTCCTTGTTTTTGTGGATACCGACTAACAGGGCTTCCCCCCGATATTTGTATTCTGTGTTGTAATTGAAATCAATATATTTGAAAATGTAGAAAACATCCAAAAATATTTAAATAAACGCGATTTAAAACTGTGATTAATCGTGATTTTTTTATCTCACAATAAATTTTTTTATTCATTTGCCAGCCCTACAAATTAACCATTTATCCAAGTGTCTCAGCACTCAGCTCCGTTTGTAAATGGAAACTTCAGAGCAAGGTTTATAAATCTCTCCCATTTGGGATCCCCGCATAGAGGAAGGCTCAGGGAGGGAGCCATGCTGCTACTTTTCTTGACAATGGAAAATCTAATTATAATCGATCTGATGGGCTGGGCTGTTAAAAAGGCTGAAGCTGCTGGCAGCGGGGAGGGGAGGCTGGGACCGCAGGGAGAGGGGAGCCCTGTGGCCTGGCCCAGGCCCTGAAGGAAACTTTCCCTTTTCGATGAAGGCTGTTTTTAAAAAGGTCTGTTCTCACTGTGCGGCTGTGAATCTAGTGCACGCATATTCCTGCTGACCTCACACGCAGCACGTTACTCTGTTCATGGAGGACACCTCTCACCTCTTCGAGCCTCCAGCATGGGGCTGGTGTTAAGCCACCGTCATGCTCCCTGCATTCTTGGGCTGTGCCTGGCCCAGGGATAGCTTAGAGCAGCCCCAGGGCTGCTCTGATTTATGAGCTGCTTCCTATGGCAAGCAGGTAACAGTCACAGTGAATGCAATCCAGTCACGCCCCTGATCCACCTCGCCCCGATCCACCTCGTTTGCTGGGGGCTGGTAGATAGGCCCTTCTCCCAATTCTTTACCAGCTGGGAAGGCCCCTCAGTGCAGGGGGTATTCTCAAGGGGCCATCCCCCATTCCCCTCTACAGTCCAGTGGAAGAATGGCCTACGCTGGCAGATGGGGCCAGAGAATGAGGCCGAGAGACTGGAGAAGTTTGATAGCAGAGGGAGCCTGCAGCTGGTCATCTCCTCCTTCCACCCAGGGGGTGCTCTGAGTACAAAGGCAGGGAGGGATGGAACAGGTCCCCCCATTCACCCAGGGGCTGGGTATTTGTTTTTAAATACTTTATTTTTGTAACAACATAAGAATTAAAAATCTTCCATAAATAAAGGACCCGTCGTGGCAGCCTCCCGACGCTACAGGTATAAAATGCCAGAGATCGTACAAAACGAACGCACGGCCAGGGTGAAAGGGGCCGGCTGGTGCCCCCTGGGAGGGGGCCCACCCCTGAATGGTGGGCAGGTTGGGGGGATATCCCAAGGGTCAGACCACAGGAAGGACACTCGCCATGAAAACCATCACAATCAACACAACATTGCAATGAGAGCCAAAGCAAAATTGGAATCCGGCCCCGGCTCGCCCCTCAATGGGTTGGAGATCAGCGGGGAAAGCACCCCCAGAACCTGGGCGATAACCAGGACACCTGGGTTCCAAGTTCGGGAGGTCAAACTCCCTCCAGTGAGAGGGAAAGAGGGGCCTCAGCTGGGATCAAGATAGAAACTGACGGAGCACAGGCTGGATCCCCAGGACAGAGACAAAGAGTCAGAGATAATTCTATAGGATGCAGCCCTGCATCTCAGTGATCCAGGGGCCTACAACTCATCCCTAGTGGGTAGAGCCCTGACCCCTGGCAGCAACCCCAGGGGACAGTGCTCTCCTCCTAACACTGACTGGGAGGGAGCAGGTTTGGACAGAGAATGCCCAGTGGATCCCAGGACAGATCCCTGGGAGGGTGGCCAATGGGAGCGGGGGCTGGTCCCTTACTGCTTTGCCCTGCACGGTGTCAGTGGGGTGCAGGGGCCCCGAGGTCAGGAGCTGCCCCGGATCCTCTCCATGTAGCTCCTCAGCTCGTCGGGGTCCCGCAGCCCCATGTCCTCGCATACCCAGCGGATGTCGTCCTCGCTGGCCACCAGGATGGACTGGATGGTGGGGGCAGAGGAGGGCGGGGGGGACGCGGCACCCTCAGGGGCCCGGGGTGAGGCAAAGGTCACAAACTCCACCCGCTTACGCCTGCCCCCTGGCGCAGCCACCTCCTTCCGGGACAAGGTGCTGGGGGGTGCTGGGCTCCCCAGAGCCGCAGGGAGGAAAGTGCAGGAGGAGACCCCCCCCGTCGGGCCCTGTGATCTCAGGGGCACCAGCCTCCCCTTTGCCCCCCTCCATGCCCGGGGGAGTCCCGCAGCAGCAGCAGCTGCCATCTTTGGCAGCGGCGGAGGGGTCGGGGGAGGGATTGGGGCTGAGCTCTTGGTGCTGGCTGCGGCGATCCAGCTGGCGGCTCAGCTCCTCCTGGTCGGTGCCCAGCCACACCCAGTTGTGGGGCTGCTGGGTGGAGGGGGCTGGGCCGGGCCCAGCGTCGGGGGGCTCCTTGCGCTGGTAGCGCAGCACAAAGACAATGCAGTTGACGAGGAAGATGAAGATGGCCAAGCAGAAGACGCCCAGGAGAACGTACATCCCGATCTCCAGGTCCGTCACCCGCTCCGGGGCCTTCACCATCTCATCCTCCTCCTCTTCCTCCTCAGGCCAGCCATCCTCAGAGAAGGTGCCACCCTCGGGCCTCTCAGACTTGGTCAGGTTGGGTCCCACCCCGGCTGGGGCCCGCTTCCGGGGCCCCACCATGGTCTCCGTAGCTGCCGCCGTCACCGCCTCCCCCGACATGGCCCCCTCGGCCCGCTGGAAGGGGGACTCGGGGTGGGGATTGCGGGGCCGTGGGCTACCGGGGGTTGGGGGCCGTCGGCTGATGCCAACCTCCAGCCAGGCAGTGCCAGTGGCCAGCGGCGCCCGGTGCTTGCCTTTGCGGCAGGAGTCTGCGGTGTGCAGGCCCAGCTGCAGGAGGGGTCCCCGGCCCGGCCCCTCAGCTACGATCAGCGGGCGAGCTAGCTCCTCGTCCGGCCGCACCCAGGCCACGCCAGGGTCCAGGGAGGAGACAGAGAGTGCCACGTCCCGCCAGCCATAGAGCTCCACGGGGGCCAGGGTGTGGTCGGTGAATGCCAGCCAGACACTGAGTGCTGCTTCCTGGAGGGGGGACATCCGGGGCCACAGGGATCAGGCAACAAGAGTGTAGTGTTGGGGAGGGCGGGGAAAGGGGGGACAGGACACAGACGGGCAGGGGGGTGGGTGTAAACGGAGGGTGCGAGAAGAGACACACCCGTGATCCCTATGCTGCTGCCCTCCCCGCTTTGTGTGGGGGCCACAGCTGCAGCAGGCCCCACTTCCCAACTCCCCCAAGCAATGTGCGCTTGACTCCCTCCTCCCACCCGTGCTGCAGCAAGGAGAGACACTGGGCAAGGCCCAAACCCATGGGTTCTAGGGCTCTGCCGAAAGCCAGGGTCCCCACCCTCATCTGCCACCAGAGAGGTCTGGATCGCATGCCAAGGCCCAGCACTGGAGGGGCAGAAGCTGCAGCTTTAAAGGCCCGGTATAGCCAGGCTTGCTCAGCTCCAGGAGCCTGGGATGTCCCCAGGAATCACCTGGCTACACCCCGTGTTCCCAGCCCTGCGCTCTGCCTCCCAGGCCCCACGGACCGCCCCTCTCACCTGCTTTGGGGAGTGCAGGGCTGAGAGTGCCTGGCAGGTGGCGGTGAGGACATCGGGGTGTTGTGGCTCCGTGCTCAGTGCCAGCGAGAGGCCCGACACCAGCTGGGCCTGCAGCTCCAACACGGCCACCTTCTCATCCGACACCACCAGGGTCTGCTCGCCCAGGATGGAATCCGAGACAGGGGAGCGCACCTGCACCGGCGGGAGAGCAGGGGATACAGGCACTAGCAGCAGCTCTGGTCTGGACAGAAAACCTCCACAAAGCCTCCCCCAATCTCCCACACTCCCTCCTGTGCCCCCAATCTCCCATGTCCCCCATCTCCCATGCTTCCCCCTCTCCCAGCCACCCCTCATCTCCCACGCTACCCCCGTGCCCCCGCAGCCACCGCCACTCATCTCTTGTGCCTTCCCCAGCCTCAGCCACCCCTCCCATCTCCCACACTTCCCCCTCCCCCCAGCCAACCCCACACCCATCCTCTGTTCCTCTCCCCTCAACCTCCCTGGTGCCCCCCACTCCATCCCTCTGCTCAGCTGTCCCCCCACACCATCCCCCTGCACCTCTCCCACACGATTCCCTGCTACTACATGCATCCCCCAGCTCACCCCACACCATCCCTCGTGCCCCTCCCCCAGCTCACCCCCCCCGCCTCCCACCTCCCTGGGCACCCTCCAGTCACCCCAGTCCCTACCTCCACTGACGTCACTCCCGGCTCGCGGCCTATCACCACGCTCCCGCCCTCCAGAGTGGCCACGCGGGGGTCCTGCACCTTGGCTTGCCCGCCCACCAGGTGGGAGACGTCCAGGAGCCAGTCAGAGCTCGGCATGTAGGTCAGGTGCCGTCCACCGTCCAGTGGGTGAGCCACGAAGTGCGCCAGGAAGCGGACACCAGCACGCTGGTACTGGAGCCGACAGCCACGAGCTCGCCTCTCTGCCTCCTCCCCAGCCTCCTCGGGCTCCACCAGGCCACTGCTCGCAGAGGAGAGCGCCACGGTCTCAGCAGGGAGCGGCCAGGCATGGGGCTCTAACCCCACATGGTGCAGGTGGCCGAGAGCCACCTCATCCCGGTGCCATGGCCTCCAGGACCCCACGCTGCCAGCCTCTGCACTGACATGGAGAGCCTGCTCTCTGTTCATCTGCCCTATCAGAGACACTGGGACCCCCCCCGGCCTCTGCCCAATCAGCAACTCTGGGACTCCCTGTTATGAAGTGGGAATTTTTTGTATGAAGACTAGGTGTGCCTCAATTTCCCCCGTGTTACCTAGGGAGTGGAAAAGGGCTGTTTGCTCTCAGGGCAGGTGAAGAGACATAGACATGGGTGTCACCTAGCTGTCTGGATCTTGGTCCCCATACCAGTGGAGCCTCTGAGGGTATGCCCACACTGCAATTAGATGCCTGTGTCTGGCCCATGCCAGCTGACTCAGGTTTGTGGGGCTGGTTAATTGGCTCAGGCTGCTGCCCAGGCTCTGGGACCCTCCCACCTCGCAGGGTCCTAGTGCCCAGGCTCCAGCCGAAGGAGGCCAGTCGGACAGAGACACACAGCTTGAAACCTGGAGGTCACTACAGCTTAGCTCGGCTATTTCATTCCTCTGTGCTAACCTAAGGCCTTCCTATGCCGCGTTCCCACTGACTAATAAACCCAGCTGTTCTGACAACACCGTTTGGTGTCACTGCTCATGCTGGGTGAGGTGCATTAATCCCTGAAGGGTGGACAGGTCTCTGCCAGGAGTCTGTCTGCATGGGACTCGCTGAACAGAGCTCACGGTGTGACGCAGGAGTGCGGAAAGCCCAGAGGTTCAGGCTGAGGACATGGTGACACCATGTGGCTTGCCCTGGAGGAAAAGTGAGACCCCTCGGGGGTCTGGCCCACTGAGAGGTTCCTCCTAGAGACTGTTCCAAAGCTGGGGCCCAGCACCAATCCTGTGGATCTGTGACACCCCACCGCAGGTCCCCCTTCCCCATCACAGAGACTCCGTCTCTTCCCCGCCAGCTTCTGGCCCCCACCCCTAACTGCCTGCGCCCCGAGTGCAGAGCCTTTCACTCAGCCAGCCACTAGAGACTCTGGGCTCCTCACTCAACCGACCTGCCCGCTCCAAGGGGAAGTCTCCCCTGGGCCTTTCTCCGCTCTAGTCCGGCCAGGTTCTTAGACTGCGCCCATCACTGTGGCATCTGAGCTGCCCCAAAGCGTACACTGGAGTCTGGACATAGCCCTGGTGCCAGCCCTGCCTGCTTCCTTCATGTCCCCACCTCCCCTATCTCCAACACATCCTTCCCATGCACCAGGCCCCAATGCCCTCTCTGCCTGCCAGGCCCTGCCCATCCTCCCACTGGACAGGCCCTGGTGTCCTCCCAACACACCATGCCCTGGCACTCTCCCTGCCCACCCACAAGGCCCCGGCACCCTTCCGGCAGCCCCAATCCCTGCTCCAGGTTGGGAGCCAGAGGGACTGACCTGTCTGGAGCGGCGCCAGGCACCCTCCAGCCGCGCACCTGCTCCAGCGTGGTGTCGGTCAGCTCGATGCGCAGCGGCAGTAGTGGTACCCAGACGGTGAAGAGCAGCGAGGCGTGGAGCCGCCGGAACCAGAAATCCACTCGCGCCCCGCGGGCGCCCCGGTTCTCCTTGCCCCCCACATAGACGGAGTTGCATGTGTCCGTCACCTGGGGGCCAGGAGGGCATGAAGAATGGCACATATGTGGACAAATGTCCAGACACCTTCACCCCTGCCCCGCCCCCCAAACCTCCAAGCCTGCCACTCGGGACACTCCACGGAACCAGGGAGAGGGTGTGGGGAGTAGCTTGCAAAGAGGAAACAGAGCAGAAGGGAACCAGCGAGCCCTGGCTACAGGGTGAGAGGCGGTGGGGATGGGAACCACATAGGGGCTGAGCCCCAAGCGGTAGGAGGGGGCCAAGGACATGTGGCTATGGAGCTGAAGGTGGAGAGGGCAGGGGCTGGGCCATTGGGGAGGGAACAGGAGGTGCCTGGCAGAGATGTTGAGTTGTGGAATGGGGGTGAGGGGAACCTGGGGGGCTGAAAGCCTGAAGGGGGAGCAGTGGGGAAGCCCAGACCTTCCAGATGGAAGAGGCGGTCCCACTACCGACCAGGCTGAACTATGACCTGGGGAGTGGTCACACCGGACTCCCATGTAACCTCTGCTCCTGCCCTAGCCTGAGGGGTCAGGGGAGATCTGGCATTGCAGAGGGTGAGGATGGGGATGATGGCCCAAGAGGGCACCTGAGGATGGTGAGAGGGGATCTGGTGTCTCAGAGGGCGAGGAGGGCACTTAAGGGTGATGGTGGGGGATCTGGCATTGCAGAGGGCAAGGACAGGGTATGATGGCCCAGGAGGGCACCTGAGGATGGTGAGAGGGGAGCTGGTGTCTCAGAGGGCAGAGCTAGAGAATGATGCTCTGGGAGGCAACTGACAGTGAGAGGGGGAAAAATCTGGGTCTCAGAGGGCCAGGATGAGGAATGATGGCCCAGGAGGGCACTTCCCTATGGGTCAGTGGGTGGTTCATTTGTTTCTCACCTTCAGGACCTGCTTGTTGGCAGACTCACACCCCATCTGCTCGGTGACCTCGAACACAGCTCCCCCCATCTCCACAGCGACCAGCTTCACCGGCACTGCCAGGGGGATCCCCGTCAGGGGGGCGGTGTTCACAATCTCTTGCTCCTGGGGAGACCAAGAGGGTACACAGATTGAGACCCTGCCTCTGGGGGGCTGCCTGGCGCGGGAACAGAACCACAAGGCCTTACCTTCACCAGTGGGACCAGCGCCCTGACGTCGCGCTCCGTCACCTGGATCTCCCACACCATCTTGTCCTTCTCAGCTTCAGGGTCCTGGCCAGGGTACTCCACCTGCCAGGTGACGGGGCGCGTGGAGGCCAGGCCGCTCGTGCCGTTCTCCACCGCCAAGTCCAGGTAGAGGAACTCGGGGAAATCCGCTGCCCTAGATGGAGGCAGGAGGGAAGTGAGGGGGCAGTGAAGCAGAGGACGGATACTGCGCCCCCAGGGGCTGTGGCATCTCACCCCTGCTCCATCACGAGCCACACAAATTTCACCTTCAAGCACAACCGGGAGGTGACCAGAGAGAGGGACTGTCCTGTTCAGCGGCCCATGGTTCCCTCCCTCCGATCTGATTGGTCAGTATGTGGTGGAGTAGCAACAGCCATCCCATCCCCAGGCCAACGGCATCAGACCTACAGTCTGATTGGCTGGGTCCTGGGAGAACAGCTACATTATCACTGCTCCCCCGCGTCACATGGCCTCCTGTCCCCACTGGCTGATGCCCAGGAGAATACAGGTATCAGCCCAGCCCCCCGCAGGAGTCACATGGTTCCCTACATCCTGCCCAATTGGCCAATACCCAGGAGAATAAGCGTGTCAGCCCTGTCCCCTTCAGGAGTCACGTGGTTACTACCTCCAGGCCAACTGGCGAGCGTCCAGCCGGCGACAAGTGACCACAGCGGTGTGGTGCTTTGAACCCTTGAACTTGTCCAGCTTGGCCGTCCATGCCTCGGGGACGGCAGGGCGGGCAGCTAGGACCTGCAGCCCCTTCTTCACCTTGATCCTGAAAGAAGCACGGCTCAGAGTCAGAGCATGGACTCCTGAAGAGACGTCACCCAAAGCAGAGACCCTCTGAACCCTACAGAGTCCTTGGCTGGATCCCTGGATCCCCTTGGATCCCTGGATCACCTGAGGGTCAGCAGGCCAGGGTAGGGTCCCTGAGTCTCAGGGTAGGTTCCTGGGTCCCCCGGATCTCACCTGAAGGTCAGGTAGGGTCCCCCATATCTCAGGGTGGGCCCCTCGATCTCACCTGAGGGACAGCAGGTTAGGGTAGGGTCCCCGTGCCTCAGGCTGTGTCCCTGGGTCCCCCTGGATCTCACCTCAGGGTCAGCAGGTTGGCGGTGAAGTTCTGCTGGAGGATCAGGGTGGCCGTGAAGAGCTGCCCTGGCCGGAGTGCCATGTCGGGGACCCGGATGAGCACGTTGTCATCCAGCCGCACCTCCTGGCGCCGAGGCGGGTCCGTGCCTCGCAGCTCCACAGCGCCGACATAGTGCAGTCTCTCCTTGGTGCCCTCAGCACCCGGCCGGTGCCTCTCCTGGGGCCCCGCATAGCTGCACTCTGCAGACGTTTCCACAGTCCCCAGGCTGTAGTACAGCTCGGCTCGCTCGGGGGGCCGGGCGGGCTCTGCAGCTCTGCGCCGGCTGTGTGCGGAGGGGTGTGTGGCAGAGAACCAGCGTGGGGGGAACTCCAGCTCCACCACGCACACTCCCAGGGGTGCCTGAGTGGGAAGAGCAGGGAGTGGGCTCAGAGAGCATGAGTCTACCCCAACCTCATTGACCACCCACCTCTAGGGTGGGCCCTGAAGTCTCCATCACCCACCCCAGGGGGAAACCAACTCCTGCTCCAGCCCGACCTACACTGCACTGCCGTCCCCAGCACAGAGCACCCCTCTTTCCCCAAATCTAAGATCACTTAGACCCCAAGCTCAACCCCTGGAGAAGAGCTAGCCTTGTCCCAGGGAGCCCCCCAACCCCAGCTGCCCCTGCAGCCTTGCTATGGGGGACACACAACCTTCATCTTCTCCATGGTGACCCCGACACACCACGATCTGGTGCCAGGAAGGGGCGCAACGTACCCAACCAGAGGGACTTTCAGCTCCCACTGCCCCTCCCCCTTCCCCCACTCCTCCAAGGATGTCTGGGTGCTGGACCCTCTATCTCCTGGGAGGGCAGATGTTGGCGGGTCACGTACTGACCTGGAGGCGGCAGGCTCCATGCACAGCCCGTGTCTGGTGGAAAGCATGCAGGGAGACACAGGGCAGGTCATGCCGTCCCGGCAGCCAGTCCTGCCCCTTGAGGTGGAAGAGAACCCTGGCATACGGCTCAGCTGGAGACACTGTACCCTCAATGGACACGGCTCGGACGTCCCAAGCCGCGGAGCCGTACCTGTGGTGGGGATCGGCTGCTGGCACCACCTGGAGAAAGAGACACAGATTGAGACCGGGAGAGATGGGTCAGATGGGACACCGAGATGCCCAGCTGAGCCCATAGTGGAGGCACTGCTGGATGGGCAGGGTTACCTGTTGGGCAGTGAAGGGCAGGTAGGTGGCTTGGATGACAGGCTTTGCCGTGGGCCGGCGATGGAGGAGGAGGTAAGTCTCAGAGCGGGAGCCCAGGGAAGCATTTCCCGGCAGGTACCGATCCACCCGCTGCAGCCGGAAATGTTCTGGAATGTCCAGCACCTTGAGTTCGGCCGGCAGGTACACCAGGTCGTGGGGGTCCGATTCTCCACTCACTGCAGGGAGAAGAAAAACCAGGTCTGCGGCCGGCAGTCATGTGCCCCCTACCCTACACACTTACCAGAGCACGTGTCCTCCCCCTCACCCAACCCCTCCTGAGAGAAGGAGATGCCAGGACGTCAGCTGGAGTGGAGCGTCACTGTTCCTGAGCTATTCAAGGGGGTGGACCAAGCCTGCCTCCTGCTGGAGAAAAGGGAGCTAAATTATTTGTATTACAGCAGCATCTAGAGGTCCTGGCTGAGATCAGGGCCCTGTTGTGCCAGGCACTGCCCAGACACATAGGGAGAAAGGCCCAGCCCCAAAGAGTTCACATCTACATAAAATTATTATTTCTCCCACGTTACAGGTGGGAAACTGAGGCACAGATTTTTTTAAGTGACTCCCCCAGGGAGTCTGTGGCATAAATGGGGTTGAACCCAAACCTCCAGAGTCCCTGTCCAGTGCTTTAAACAAAAGACCAGCCTTTCTCACAACCAAGGCTCCATGGCCTATGTGATGCAGATCAGACAGGACGAGAACAGTACAGTCTGGGTGAAATCCTGGCAGCACTGAAATCAGTGGGAAATTTGACATGGGCTTCAACAGGGTCAGGATTTCACTTTCTGAATCTAAGCAAACCTTTGGCAAGCCACTTATGGCCAGATTGTCTACGGCTCAGCAACGAAGCTTACGTTCAATCTGCCAGAGTTCAGCTCTCATTCAGCATCCAAATTAGAGTCGGGTTATCAAAAGTGCTCAGCAGAGGGCTGAGCTCTTGAAAACACTGGCCTAAGCTCCCTTTACCTCAGTTCTCCATTTGGCAAATGATCCCTCTCCCCCTCCCCACCGCTTTCTCTATTGAGCTTGCTAGCTCTGCCGGGCAGGGACTGTTTCTTCAGTCTACACGTGCAGCACCTAGCACAACGGAGTCCCACTATCTCCGTTGTGGGGAGTAGGTGCAATTGTAATACAAACAGGCTTGTGCTCGCCTGCTTCTTTGTGATGTACAGAGCCAGTGGAAATTCAGATGTTGTTTCCCCAGGGTTTCCACAGACACTTGGAGATTCAGTGGGACTTTGACATGACGAGGCAGGAAGGCCAAAGCTGAGTGACAGAGAGGAAGGGGCCGTTAGCCTGACTGTTAATCATGTGCTGGTCTTTGCTTCTGTTAACATCTGAACTTAGTGGGTTCAAAAGCGTTTGAGATTGTTGCTCTCTGGGGCATGGGCTGTGTTTTTGTCCTGGGTCTGTACAGAACCTAAGCACACAAATGACACAACTGAACACACAACAACATGGCATTCTGGTGGAGCTGATTCACTTTTTCTTTTTATAAAAAAAAAAAAAAAGACACCCCCCATACCCCTCCAAACCCCACAAAAATGATGAAAATCATTGAGATTTTTCACCCACTGGGTTTCCGATAACAAAAAAAGGTCGATACCATTTTCAGTAAAAAACCCCCACCAATTTCCCCCCCGACTAATTAAAAAACAATACAAAAACGATTTCAACATGGTTTGCAAAAATGGTTATTTTATTCTTCACCCAGCCCTAGAGTTGACACAATTTGTCAAAGAGTCAATACTTTGATGGCAATGGAACCAGCCATTTGGGAGATCTCAGAAATCAGTTGATTTCAGTGTTTTTTAAGAGTCTTGGGTGTGCATTACTCTGGAATTTCCCTGCCTCTTAAAGAGAGGGCAGTTCCAAAAATAATAACCCAACCTGCTCTGATGGTCAGAAATGGGCTGATCTTTACTTAACAGCCGCAACTCAATGTTAGCACCATCTCGACCTGCAGATAGGATGCAGAGCGGGTCACTGCATGGAGCTTGAAAGCCACTTCCCTTACTGGGCCAGGACTAGCAGGAATCTCGCCTGGGCTAGCACCTTTCAGCTTGCACAGGAGCCATTTTCAAAAATGAGAAGTCTTTAGTCTTTAGCAAGTTCCCCAACTGTGCCCGATCTACAGAGGATTTGCGTCTGTTACAACCCTGGTAGTAGCAGCTCCTGCTTTTTAGCTCTGGAGGTCCCAGGTTCAATCCCCAGCATCAGCGAAGATAGGAGCCGGGGCCTAAGCAGACTAAACAATTGCTTAAGGCCCCAAGCAGCTCAAGGGGGTCCCCATTAATTATTAATATGTGCTATTCCTGTTTAGGGCCCTAATGGGCTACCATCAGCACTGGACAAGATGGTACCTGTCACAGACCGTGGGACTGGGGAGGTCACACATATGGGGTAAGAGGCTCTATGACGGTTCTGCCAGAAAAGCCAGCTCCTTCCACACAGAGGGATGGAGATCACCAAACCTTCCTCCCCAGCATGTCCAGGGCTATGATCCCCCTGCCCCACCAGCCAGCCCATTAAATTTGATTTCCCCACCGTTGTGATCTCTTATCACGCCTGCCCCAGTCCCTGACCCCCGGGGAGGGAGCAGGTGGCTGAGAGATACTGTGACATCCCCCTCTGGGTCACTACATCCCAAGATCCAGGGGATGGGAGTTGGGGGGGGGGGGGGGAGAAACAGGTGGGTTCTTTACAAGCCTGGTATCTGCCTCCCACAGGCAGTGACCTCTGCCATCTCCCCTCTCCCTGCTTGATTGGCCTGCTAATTACATTGCACTCTCATCTATTTCCCCTCATCATCCTGACAGCTCCAGCCTACCTCCTGCCTCCCATATCGCCCCCTCTCCTGCTGGGGGTATGGCTCCCTACCTCTCTTCCCAGACCCCTCTCCAAACCCTCCTACTCAGCCCAGGGACCCTTCTCTCTCCTATGGCCCAAGCCCCTTCTCCATTTGTCCCTGCCGAGGTCAGGATTCACCATGAAATGTCACAATCCCACCACAGGCACCAGCCCCGTGGGACAGAACAAACCCCGCAGAGATGGCTTGCTCTGAACCACAGCTCCGGTGGTGCCTTGAGATCCCAGAAGTTCCCCATCACGCTTGGGACCTAGAGGACCAGGAACGGACCCTGTAGAATCACAAGCAGGTGATTTTGCTACCAATGCAACACAGAATCGATTGGGTTTGGTGACCCCATGGAGCACAGATGGGGAAACTGACACACCTGCTCCATCACGTCCAACCCATCCCGTCCCAGCCTGTAGGGCCACCAAGCCCTGCACAGTTCTGCTCCCATTGCCCCTAGAGCACTGGGGGCTAAACATCTCAGAGCAGGAAAGATTTTGGGGGGGAGGTGGCAGAAAGGATGTGGGGGGGCCCGGCAGGAGGGAGTAACTAGAGCTGAGAACAGTCAACATACCCAGGAGGGAGGAGGCCCCTTCAGGCTAACAGACAGCGGCTGGGACAGAAGAGGTAAGGACCGGCTAAGCTGGGAGCGTTTGCTAACAGAGAGATGCATTAACCTGGGGAGCAGCCTCCCAAGAGATGGGGGTCAGCCCCATGGCTTGAGACCTTCACAACTAAACTGCCTTGGGGAGTGCCTGCAAGGGCCCGACCTGCCCTGCAGTCAGGGCTAGCCACATCAGGAGCATTGCATGCCCCAGGGAAGATTGATTGGCCTCTTTCTAGGGGGAGTCCTGCTGTCACGGGGGCTCCAGCCTGGGCTGTGTCATGAGCAGGGGATGCAGGAAGGTGCGGATACGGCGGCTCAGGAACAGATCAGAGGAGCTGGGGAGAACTCTGGGGATCTTGTTAGCGCCTGAGGCGGACCTGGGGTTCCACCAGGACCAGACCATAAAGGGAATGTGGGGAAGCCTGTGGGGTTCCCTGCTGTGACCTAAGAGGAAAGACAAGGGGCCCTGCTAGCTCTGGACCACAGGGCATGAGGGAAACCACAGGAGTGAGATGTTGGTTCTTATGGATATTAGGAGAGGGTGCAAGTTCTGTGGGGTCCAATGGGGCTCAGAGCCAGGTCCCAGTAGCAGGAGTCACCACTAGATCCCATGGGGGTGTGGGAAGTATATGGGTCCTGCAGGATCCAATGGGGCTCAGAGTTGGGTCATTGGGGCCAGGGTACCCATTGGATCCTGGGGGGAGCCCATGGGTTCAATGGAGCTCAGAGCCAGGTACTGCAACTAGGGTCCCCACTGGATCCCATGGTGGGTGTTGCACGGGTCCTTTGGGGCTCAGAACTGAGTCACTGGGACGGGGTCCCCACTAGATACCACGGGAGGAGGGGGGGGCTCAAGGGTCCAATGGGGCTCAGACCTAGGTGATTGGGGCCGGGGCCGCACAGGTCTTATGCGGCTCAAAACCGGGTCACTGGGGCAGGGGTCCCCCCTGCATCCCACGGGGGCGGGGCGCGCAGGGCGCACGGCTCCTGCGGGGTCCGACGGAGGTCGGCGGGCCGGGGGAAGCCCGGCGCGGAGGGGTCTCAGCGGCGCTGCCGGGGTGTCCGTGGGGCGCCAAGCGAGGGGCGCACCCCGAGCCCGCACACTCACCTCTCGCCGTCTGCAGGGCCAGCAGTGCGGCCAGCAGGACAAGGCAGCCGCGTCCGGAGGCCAGGGGGGCAGCGAGCCGTGGGGGGCCCATCCCTGCCCGCCCTGGGGCCATGGGGCTGGCGCGGGACTCAGATCCCCCCGCCCGCGCCCTGCACCCGCAGCATGCCCCGGCCCCCGAGCGTCGCGCCCGCTCTGTCCGTGCGCCCGGGCCGCGCCTCCGTCTGCAGCCGGCAGCTCGGGGCTGCCGCTCCCAGACAATAGAGGGATGGGGAGGGAGGGAGCACATGGGCTGCTCGCCTGGCGCCCCGGCCGGGTCCTAAACCCCTCCTTTTCCAGCCGGCATCCTAGTGCCGCCCCCGGTACAGCGCCTAGCACTGCAGGGGGCCTGGAAAAGCGGGTAAAGTAATGCGAATCCCAGAGTAACAGCAATACACGGGGCCTAGGTGGAGCCAGAGGCAGGAGGGAAGCAGCCAGAGAGGGAGAGAAAGAGGTCGAGATGGAAAGAACAAGGCAGGGAGCAGTAGAGAGGGACAGAGGGTGAGGGAGAGATGGGAGAATGGAGAGAGCGAGATAATGGCAGAAAATGAACAAGAGAAGGTGTGAGCAAGGAAATGAAGGAGGGGAAAGAGGAAGGGGATGAGTGAGAAGCTATAGAAGGAGGAAGAGACAAATGGAATGACTGCGAGCGCTGGAGACGGCCACGCAAGGCGCAGAAGGAGCCGAGGATGGACAGGGCAAGCCAGTGAGGGGGGAGGGGACAGGCTGTGTCAGTTGGAGGCAGGATTGGTGCTTCCCTGTGCATGGGAGATTGGAAGCTGCTTGGGGCTGGGGCTGGCTCCCGTGCTGTGTGTACAGAGCCTGGCGCCATGGCTCCTGAAACACTGATTCGGGCTCGGGGCTCCAGTATCATACAGGCTATAACAGGGACGGGATGGATCAAGGGAGCAACAGGAGAGGAAGTGCAAAGGAGAGAGAACGTGAGCAGTAGGTAAAAACAGGCAGAAGGAGAAAGAGTAAAAGAGAGCAAGAGGCAGCAAGGAAGAGTGGTAGGAAAGAGAGTGAGGGAAGGTGAAAGGGACAGACAGGCAGACAGCAAGAGACCCACATGGACAGATAGGCAGGCAGACACAGGGCTGGATTTCCAATTAGACACAGTAGACATGTGCCTAGGGGCACCAGCATTCTAGGGGTGCCCTTCTCTCTCTAAAATTGTGTGCAACACAAAGATCAGCTGCGGGGGGAGCGCTGAAGATGTAAATCTGGCCCTGGGCAGACAGCTAGAGAGAGCCACAGGGACAGACAGAGGTGGGGACAGCTCAGCCCACAGCTCAGCCCCCTGGTGACTGGTGCTTTGCAAATAACCAGACAGCCGGGACAGAGCAAGTGGATTCTTGAGAGTGCCATAAGCCTGTTGCCCTGCGGCTCCCCCAGCCCAGCTGCAGCAGGGCCTGCGCCGAGGTCTGCAGCCTGCCAGAGCCCCCGGGCACCGGAGGAGTGCTGGGAGCCACTGAGAGCTCACGCCCAGTGCTCTTGCTCTGACATGCTTCCCCCCACCGAGAGGAGCCAGCCAGCAGCAAGGAGCTGCAGCTGGTTGGCTCTGCCCTCAGGCTCTGGGAGAGCACAGGCTGCCATGGACCCTACTTCACCCGCACCCTGCCAGGGCAGAAATAAACCTGCCCAGGCACTGAAGGGTTAAAAAGGCCAAAAAGCAAGAGCTTGGAGTCTTCAGCCTGTATCATATAACAGCTGGAGACCCAGACAGGGCATGGGGAGGAATTGGAAGCTTCAGATACAGGGATAGAGAGGATAAGCAAACAAGGGACATGGGAGAGAGGTGGGGTGAGGGTGATACTGAGTCCACACAGCCTAGCCAGACGCAGCCCCCAGGACCCCACCCCTTTCCGCTCTGTGACTGTACAGTGCCTAGTGTAACGGGGCCCTGGGCCACAAGTGGGGCTGCCAGAGTCCTAGAGTTTAAGGCCACAAAGATACATCAGGTCAGCTAGCCTGACCTCCTGCACGCCACAGGCCTGCACACCACACCACCACCACCCAGCACCCACCTGCTAAACCCAACCAGCAAAGTATTACAGCCTGCAGGAGACCTGGCCAGTGTGTGCCAGAGGCAGAGACCAGGAGAGAACGAGGTGCGCCAATGCCCGAGACCCCTGGAGCAGCAGGGAATTGAGAGGCACTGATCAGCCTGCAGGGGCCGAGGGATGGGACCCCACGCAGCTGCTGGGCTATCCCAGCGCTCCATTCACATCCAAAGAGGGGGAGAGCTCTGGGGCTCCAGCCCCTTCTTGCTCCTACCCTGCTGGATGGTATCCCCACTCCCCCCTGGCATGTCCTGAACTCCCAGCCCCTGGGGGACTGTAACCCAGCAGGGGAACCGGCCCTTCTCCTACCGAGCACAGTGAGGGATGGCAGCACAACTCCTCTCCCCTGTCCTGCTACACACCCCTGTTCATCCCTGGGGTTTCTGGGGGCTCCAGGTGGTGAGGGATGAGCACAGACAGCTTCATGGACTTTAATCCTCCCTCCCTAAGACACCAGAGCTTGTTGCCTAAAACCCAACTGTAATATAAGAAGCTCTGGGAATCCCTATCCTGACAGCTGGGCACAGAGAGGAGAGGAAAGGGCTTAGCCAGGGTGTTGGCAAAGACTCCCTTCCACAAGGCTTGCAGCAGCTGTCCTTGCCTAGCAGCACCTCCCACACCATCCATCTCCCAGCAGCCAGGGCACCACTCTCTACAGCTCTACTTCCCCTCAGCGCTCCTGCCCCACTCCTTGCTGGCAGAGGCTGGGACCAGAGTAGCACATTGTTCACCCCACAGCCAGTACTCCTGTGTGCTAGTCCCCCAGCTGGGAAAGACTGGGACTGGGGTGCTGTCATTCCCTGCAGCGCCACCTGCTGGGAGTGGCAGAAGAAAGAAACCCAAACTTGCCCATGGGCTGGACAGAGTGTGGTTAAATAGATTTTATTTCGAACCTGGTAACAAAATGTCCTGTTTGTTTAAAATAGACAGAACTTTCAAAACACAGACTGGCAACTATCAGCCAACAACACATGCCCAGTCCTAGCCCCGGCCACACTGGCCTCCTCTCCAGCTCCTAGCTGGCGGGGCAGGAGAGACAACAGCTGAGCTCATTGTGGTCATGACAGGATGGGGCTACGAATCCCTGCAGCTCAGAGATGCTCGCCCTAGTTCTCATGGAGTTAGCACAGTAAAAACAGCAGCATAGCTGGGGTAGCAGGAGCTGCAGAGAATGGTAGAAGGGTCTAGCCAGGCCGAGTCTGCACCCACGGGGTTCAGGAGGGTTTGTACTTGGCCAGGCTGTGTACACTACTGTTTTCAGCACGCTAGCGGAATGAGAGCTAGCACAAATGTCTACACAAGCTGGGAATCACACCCCTTGCTCCAAGTGTAGACGTTCCCTAGGGGCACATAGGAGGATGAACAGAAATTGCTACGTACCCCTCCTTTCTGATCAATCGTGGCCCGCTCCACCACGATCCTGGGGCAGGATTAACACGAAGGCCACCTGCCATGCTTGAGGTGGCACCAAAAGACAACTCCCACCCCAGCTGTGAGAAATGTAGGAGGAACTTCCATGTGCCCACTTCCATGTGCTGTGTGTCTTTGGCTTGGATGGTGTTGGAGGGTTCTTAAAAAGAACCTGTAAACATCTTCCCATATCCACATATCCCAGTTTCCCCTCCCGCCCTACAACAAACACCATCCACTCTTAGCATAAGAAGGCACCATTGGCTTGGATGAAGGCACTTGGGGAAACCCTTCCCCTGTACACACCCTCCCTGATCAGAGATCCCCCAGGGGTACACTACCCCCTCCTGCAATGGGATACAATGCACCTGCTCCCAGTTTATCTACCCAGCATCTGATTTCTAAAACCACTGAGCAACCCCCAGCTCCAGCTGAAGTCAATGGGAGCGGCAAGAGCTCAGAACCTCTGTGCATCAAGCCCTTAGGACCCAGCCTTCTTAGTGAGACTGGTCTGGGGCTAGGTAAGGGGGTGGAGAAATGAGGATGGGGTGGTGGTGGGGAAAGGATCAGGCAGAGGTAGAGGGTGGAGGGAAAGGCCAGGAACCCCGGCGGCAGCTGTAGGGCAGCATGGGAAGGGGACAAGAGGGAGACAGCAGGGAAATAAGAAGGGGCAGAATTCAGCATCTTAGCACCCAAGACCAAACATCACTTCGTCCCACACTTCACCAACATCAAAGCAGCCCTTTTAAGCCCCAGCACGATGAGCTCCATGGCAGCAAATCTATGGGAGATGGCAGGGGTGGGGGCAGGCAGCTGAGGGAGCACCTCCCATCCCCAGTCCATGGGACCAGGGCAGGCTGGGGAAAAAAATCACACCACCTCCCACTGGTTCATTCCTCCACTCCAGAGAGCTCCCTTTTGGCTTTGTTTGTCTGTGGGGTGGGTGTGGGGGACAGAATGCAAGTGCCCTGGGGAATAGAGGTGTGGGTAAATTAATGCATGGGGGTGGGACCTGCGAGTCCCTGAGGTGGGTAGTGTCTGTCAGTTTGTACAATGGGGAGGCACCTCAGGAGGACCATGGGGCTGGTGGGGCCTGTGAGTGTGCACAGAGGGGAGGGGCTGTGAGTACCCGAGGGTGGAGATGCCCCCATGAGCACGTGCAGAGGACCAGGGTAGCTGTGAATGGTGGAGTGAGAGTCCGTAGTGTGCTGGGAGGGGCCACCTCCTGCCCCTCACTCGTCCTGCTCCAGGTTCCTGGGGGATACCCGCCTCTGCCGGCGCCGCAGCTCCTCCACCTGCCACTCCAGGTTGCGCACCTTGGCCTCCAGTTGGCTCCCGGAGCGGCGCGCCCCGCTCAGCCTCCCCAGCAGGGCATACAGGGTGACCAGGCACAGCAGCAGCAAGGCCTGCACCGAGGGGTTGGGCGCCGCCGAGACGATCAGCAGGAAGCAGCCCAGGAAGACCACCACCTTCAGCCCCCACAGGACACGTCCCAGGATGGACAGCAACAGGCCCAGCAGCTGTGAGAGCAGCCAATAGCCCACCACAGCAGCCAGGCCCCACAGCAGCAGGGTCTGTACCTGGGCAGGGCCCAGCTTAAGGGGCTGGACCACGTGATCACCTGGAAAGGGAAGGAGGAGGAAAGTGGTTAGACACATGTGAGACGTGATGCTGTGCTGACCTTCTGTGGGGCTGGGATAACCCCCATGTGCAGGCAGGAGGATCCTCACCCTAGTGGGGCTGGGGGAGGTGGTGGGGGGGTTAATCCCTGTGCTGGAAGGAGGATCCCCACCCCTGTAGGGCTGGGACAGGCTGCTCCTGGAGAGAAGGGCATGATGGGGAAGGAGGTGATGGTTGCAGGAGTAACCCCTCCTGCCCTGGAAGGAGAAACCATGTTGTCTCCTGATCTCCCCACACAGGCTCAGACATCCTGAGGTGGGGTACTAGGGGCTGCATGTGTGAAGTAACCTCCCTGCACTGGAAGGAGAGATCCCCTTGAGAGACACAAACCTTCACCATCAGACTGGGAGGCCCCTCTTTCCTCAGGGGAAGGACCATTTTTAACCCATCAAGTGCTGGAAGGGAAGAAGCACCATACAGTGATACAGGCACCAACTGCGGGTTGGACAAACCCCTCTTTGCTGTGGAGGGTGGGACTGGGTCCCTCGTGCTCCGTTTAGAGACAATGATGAAACGGATCCTCCCTGCCAGGTAGGTGAATGAGAAACACATGCTCTCCTCCATCACATGCAGGTGAGGAATATGCCCCGATGGCTCACAAAGGCAGTGTCAAACAGGGGATCAGACACTGAACCGGGACTCAGGAGAACTGGGTTTTATTCCCAGCTCTATCACTGGCCTGATGGGCCAGCTTCCTCACACTCTTTGTGCCTCAGTTTCCCCTCCCACCCTGTGTCTATTTGATCTGTTTAGACTGTAAACTCTTTGGGGCAGGGGCTGTCTCTCACTGTGTGTCTGTGCAGCGCTTGGCACAATGGGACCCTGATCTCAGCAGAGGCAGGGACTATCTCTTACTATCTGTGCAGCGCCTGGCACAACAGGGCCTTGATCTCAGCTGGGGCAGGGACGGTCTCTCCCTGTGTGTCTGTGCAGCGCCTGGCACAATGAGGACCTGATCTCAGCTGGGGTCTCTAGGTGACACTGGTAAATAACAAACAACTTACCATTCACTCCGAAGGCGCTTAGGATCTGCCCTGTGATTCCGGACAGGATGATCAGACCTGCCGAGATGCCGGAGGACACAATCCAGAACCCGGCAGAGACGTTCTGCAGGGAAGAGAGCGTGAGAACGCTTTTCTCAGTTGGCTTGGAGGTACCCAAGAGGGTGAGAGGAGACAGGGCCAGGGAGGAAAATAAGGGGAGAATGGGGGAGCACCCCACTCCTTCGTGTCTGCTAAAGGCACCGGGACAGAGCCTCGTCCCTGACTTGAGCCAAGCTCCAATTTTCTGGCTGGGCAGGTAAATTCACATGAGATTCTCAACAGGAGCTGGTGCCTGGCTGGGTGAGTACAGCCTTCCCTGCCAGTAAGGGGAGCAGCATCTGGCATGGGAGATTTGTCCAAGCTGCCTCCTACAAGGAGCCCTGTGCCCCTGCTGTGCCCCCCTCTGCTCCAGGGTGAAAGGGAGACCTTGCCATTGCTTGCCCTGTGTAGAAGCCAGGGCAAGCAGAAAAGCCCCAGCAGGTCCCTCTCCCCAGCTGCAAAGGAAGGAGGGATGGCTGGGCTGTGCTTAAAGTGCTGGCTTAGGACTCATTCTTGGCTCCAAGTTAGACCCCCCGTGTGACCTGCAAGTCACTGCATCTCTGCAGAGCTCTGCTGCCCAGCTGTAAGATGGGGAGAACAAAGGCTATTTCTCCACATTGGCTTTGGGCCTGTCTGGAGACATGGCTGCTTTAAGATCTACCACTCCCTTGCCTTCAAGATCATAGAAACGTAGGGCTGGAAGAGCCTGGGGAATTCCCCTGGCATAGGGAGAGTCTCTGGAGAGCCTAAAGCGAGCTCTAACTACATTGGGAGCTGTTGGTGGACAGTGCTACGGTCTTCCTTGGGGAAGGGGTGGCATGGCCTGAGTGTCATTGTGCTCTGGCTATTCCTGACTGCAAGGGTAGCCTCTTGGGGCCTTGGGCAGCCTCTGAAGCTGTCCTAGCTTTACCAGGGGCTGAGTCAGCCTCATCATAGGAAAACCACAAAGGTGGTGTGGAGTCCGTTTTCCCACCACCCCTGAGGCCTGGTGCCAAGCTCAGCTGGGCTGCAATCAGGGTGGATTGATTTAAATCAAGGCGATTTACATCAGTGATTTAAATCACCAAGTGAAAAGCCTCAATTTTAAATCAATTTTAATTAATGGTTTCATTTCACTAGGAGGGTGGTGAAACACTGGAATGTGTTACCTCGGGAGGTGGTGGAATCTCCTTCCTTAGAAGTTTTTAAGGTCAGGCTTGACAAAGCCCTGGCTGGGATGATTTAATTGGGGATTGGTCCTGCTTTTGAGCAGGGGGTTGGACTAGATGACCTCCTGAGGTCCCTTCCAACCCTGATATTCTATGATTCTATGATTTGTACTTCAGTTATTTTCTAAAGAAAAGTGTTCTCATTGGTTGATCTAATCTTAGAACATGCTGATCTACAGCTAAATAGAGCCTTGACACTAGATTTGGTACATCTTTTTGCTTCCTAGTGATAAGACACATGGTAGTGGCTCCTAGAGTCGGAGGCCAGATCCCAGTGCCCATGATGACTAGATCAGTCTTGTGCGTGCAGTAGCCCAGCCCCCATGTCCCCTCTTAATACAGGACATGACCTGTTGTGCCATATGTAGAAAGCATGACCTCAAAAGTGAGATGTTTTACCCCTTATTCTTTATCTAGTAAAGCAGCCTTTAACTCACAGTTTTTGATAGAGGCTCAGGGATTTTTTTATTTAAATGTTCTAAGAGATTAATAAATGCAGGCCTTAACATATTTTGATTAAATTCAGGATTTCATTTTAGACAGGTTTATTTTTTAAAAGAAACTGATTTAAATAATTTAAAAAAATCCAATTTAAAAACAAAAGAAAAATACCCACAAATTTTTATCCATCCTGGCTGCAATCCAGCCCAGAGCAAACAGACTCCACTCAGCTCTTGCATCCAAGCGAATGCATACAAGAGGCACAAGTATTTAGGGAACGTATCCCAAACCTTCAGCTAATCGGGTGCCAATGCTGCTATTTTCAAAGCCGGCTGGCTGGTTTCCCCGGTGACAGAGACACAGCCAGTTTCCCCAACACACAAGTCAGCCTGGGTGCTTGAATCTCACTCACTTAATAAGCCTTAATGCTCTGAAGTGCTGCTGAACCAGCCAGCTCGCTCCACCACCCCGGACGAAAAACACAGGGGCTCCTTCTCTCTAACACACTTTTACAGCCCCGTTTACAGCCCCTTTATCTGAGCACCTCACAATCTTTAATGTATTTATCCTCACAGCACAGACAGGAAAGGGCTGTTGTCCCCCCATTTACAGATGGGAAGCTGAGACACAGAGAGGCTAACGGACTTGACCAGGAAAGCTAGGGCAGAGGAGGAAATTCGATCCAGGTCCCCCAGTCTCAGGCTACTGCCCTAACCATGGACCATCCTTCTGCTATAACCATTTCTGTGCACTTAACGATCCTTAATAAACCAAGGCCTAACACCCCCTACCTTGGGAGGCAACTGTCACTTGACAGATCAGGTAAGAGGTTGCAGGGGGTTGCCAGCAGAGGAGCTAGGAATAGAACCAATTGAGAGTCCCAAGACTTTGGCACACCCTGCCTTCTGCCAGAGTAGATGGCTGAGTTGATCTAAACTTCCCTGCTCTGAAATCCCTGGGGGGACATACCAAGCTACTGGAAATGGGTAAGCTGGGTTTTGGCCAATAGAGGCTGCACCGGAAATGTATTGTACCAGACTTCCTAGCCTATCGCAATGTGCTTCAGGTGGCACATGAACAGGATTTACCACCAAATTTGGTTCGCTGGTTGGATCATTAGCTTCCCCAGCTCAGGCCGGGTACTGATGGGGGAGTGTGATGTGAGCACTGATTCATGCCCCCCCTGCAGCAGTTATTTTGCCTAATGTAGATAATAAAATAATGCTACCACCACCTAGCTCATATCTATCACTTGTCATCACTAGATCTCAATATACCTTACAGTAGCTTTTGCTTCATTTTATAGATGGGGCAACTGAGGCATACCCAAGGTCACCTTGCCCAGCTGGGAATGGAACCCTGATCTGCTGAGTCCCGGTGGCTGCTCAATCCACTAGGCTATGCTGCCTCCCTCCATAGGCCTCTTTTTACAGCTCTGGCAATGCTTATAAAGTTATTTCAATGGAACTGACAGAGGAGGTGAACCTTGATCCTAGAGAGAAGTCAAGCACACCGCACAAATACATGGAGCCCCAACCCCTTTTCCTGACTTAGCTAGGATTCCTCTGTATTTTCCACTGAATGCATCCGATGAAGTGAGCTGTAGCTCACGAAAGCTTATGCTCAAATAAATTTGTTAGTCTCTAAGGTGCCAGAAGTACTCCTTTTCTTTCTGCGAATACAGACTAACACGGCTGCTACTCTGAAGCCTGCCTTACCTCTGTCACTAGCTGAAGTGTGTCCCGGCCAATCCACTCCTCCAGGGTCTCCCTCATGCCCTGAGCCAGCTGGGACAGGAAGTCAGCCCGGACAGCCGCCTCTCTCCAAGCTTCCCTGTGATAGTGCTGAGTGCTCGCCACGGCTACAGGAAGGAAAGCGACTGACATCAGGATAGCCACGGCATGTTGGAGCAGGGCTTGGCGGCAGCACCAGACCGTAGGATCCCACCCAGTCATCTCTCCAGCTCTCCTCTCAGCCCCAGGAATCTCTGCCGAGAGAAAGGGCAAAAGGCACAGATCATAATGAAGTTATAGGAGCCATGTAATTTTGCTGGCCCCAGGCCAGAACTGCAATGTCAGGAATGCCGAGTAGGCAAATAACATCCTAGCAACCCCAGGGCAATTGCAATCTCTCCTTTTAGTTGAGAATCAGCCACTTACCAGTCCTCACTTATAGGCTTTGTGACCTCTCCCCAGCCCCCCCCCCCCCCCCACTCATTTCCCTTTGAGCTGCATAGCCCCATGGAAAAGGAAAAGATGACTCATGTTTCAGCCTGTGAGCTGTGATGATGCAGACTGGCAGGGCACCAAGCCAGTCAGAGGAAGTCATTTGACACCCAAGTACCACCCTCTGGACCCCAAGCATTCACAGCACATGGGAATGAGGTCAAAGGTCAAACCTGCACCCATCTTAGGTAGTGACTGCATCACACAGCCCCTGCTGAGCAAGTTCACAGTAGCTCAGTACTTGGATGGGAGAGATTGAAAGAACAGCTGGGTGTTGCAGGCGGGCTGACTCAAAAGGAGGTGCTCTCTCTGCACTGGGACCAGCAATGACTCAGCAGCCAGAGGTGCCATCTTTAGGAGGTTTCAGAGTAGCAGCCGTGTTAGTCTGTATCCGCAAAAAGAAAAGGAGGACTTGTGGCACCTTAGAGAGTAACCAATTTATTTGAGCATAAGCTTTCGTGAGCTACAGCTCACTTCATCGTGTAGCTCACGAAAGCTTATGCTCAAATAAATTGGTTAGTCTCTAAGGTGCCACAAGTCCTCCTCCTCTTGGGAAGAATCATCTAGGCCAGGTCCAGGACCACTCCTGACCTGACGCCAAGGCCCCACGTAGCAGCGTGTTGCAAAGCCGCAGCGTGGCACACAACAAGAGGGAACCAGCGCAGCACCACTCGCTGGCTCCAATCACTGCGTGCAGGTGGCCCAAGCTCCCCTGTGTCATTGTGAGCTCCCCCCTCCTGTCCCCTATTAGGTCAGCTGCCAGCCCGGAGCTGGTGCCGCGGCGATGCCCCAGGGCTGGCTGCCCTCCGGGCGACGGCAGAGCCAGCACAGCGCGTGACACGGGGGCGCGTCGCCCCGGCGGGAGCAACGAGCGTCGTGGGGGCTGCAGGCTTCGCACGTCAGCGCCAGGCCCGTGACTCCCAGGAAACGCCCCTGGCCCAGCCGCGCGTCTCACCCTCGGAGGGCGGGGCAGCCTGGGCCTGGCCGGCTCCTGGCAGGGCGGGCCCGAGGGGAGGCTGCCCGGCTGGGGCTGCTGCTAGGAGTGAAAGTCAAATCCGGCACCGGGCCCGGGCTCGCTGGGAACTGTAGTCCCAGGGGCTGGGGGCGGGCCGGGAGGCGTCGGCCCAGTGCATTCTGGGAATTGCAGTCTCCAGTAAGAGGTGCATGCCGGGAGCGGCAGTTCCAGCCAGGCTCGTTCCCCCCTCCGGAAACGCCCGAGCGCTAGCCGGAAGATCCCGATCTATGCAGCGAGCCGGCCCGGGGCATGCCGGGAAGAGTAAAGTTCCGTTTCCGGTGGGGGCGGGACTCAGGGTCTCCCGCGCGCGCTGGGGCCCCGCGTGAGCGAGTGGACGCGGAACGGGGCTGCCCTCGGTTGGGCACGGAGAGGGGACACCCTGCCCCGGAAGCGGAGCCCGTGACCTGGAAGCAGAACCAGGAGCCGTCGGGGAGACGCCGCTATGTCCCTCATCTGCTCGAGTGAGTGACGGGCTGGGGGCTTGCGGGGGGACTTCCCCAGCCGGCCCCAGTTACGGGCCGAGCCGCACGCCCCGTGGAGCTGGTACCCCCCCCCACCACCCGCCGGCCCTGGTGTCTCCCCAGCTCAAGGAGCCCCACGAGGAAACTCTAAAAGCTGCCCCCCCCCAACGTGCCGCCCGCTCGGGGGGGCCTCGAACTCGGCTCCTCTGCAAAGCCAGTGACCCCACCCCTTCCCCCCCGCAGGGACCCGAGTCTGCGCCTGCATCCATCCCTCTGCATGGCCGCTTCTGCCTGGCGCGCTGGGGCCAGTCGCTCCCCCGCCGGCGCCGTGTGGTTCTTGAGAAAGGAGCCGTGTCTGGGTTGGGAAGGGTCAAGGACAGACAAACAGATTCCCGCCCCCCTACCTCAAGGTGTTAGGGCAAGGGAATTTCATAGCCAACACAGTGATGGGGCCGGCATCACCCGCCTTTGCCTGCCCAAGGGATCAGGTACTAATTTTGCAGCTTGGGTGAATTGAAGGTGGCCTTCCAGAGTGAGATCGAGTGGGACTCGAACTCACAACCTTCAGTATTGTGGTAGAGCACCGTAACCCCTTGGCCACTGTGCTGCTAAATAAATAAATGTGGGGAGAATCAGTGGAGCTAAAATATCAGTAGAAACATTTTAGATGTTTGGGTGGAAATCTGCATGTGCAGTTTTCAATGGTGCCAAGCTCCTACCAGTTCATGCAGAAATGAGCTCAGAGAGCTTTCCATGGTAGCTCCTTCCCCTTATGCATGTGCACCATAACAATTAAACCTCTGAGTATTTCTCACATTTTATACCTGTACAAATGTTGCATGTAGCATTGGTCTGTACACCTCTGAAAGCTTGTGATATATAAAAGCAAGTCAAGGTTTTGCAGCCTACGCTATGGATTACATGTAACAGCACAGAAGAATAGCCATGGTGTTTGTAGTTATGTTAGATTCATCATTAACTGCCTGATCTGCCCCTGAGGAAGACTGAGCTGCTGGTTGAAAGGGAAATGTGTAGCACAAAGGAACTAACAGCATTATTAGAATGCAGACCTTGGGGAGAAGGACTGAGCACAGAAGTGTAAGTCGCTAAAAATAAACTAGGCCGTGGTGTCAGTAGCGTACATAGAAAACCTGGTGACAATGCTGTACACGTAGAGGCTGTAGGAAAAATTGGTCTGTGTCTTGGGGCTTCTCTGTCCTCTGGTAAGTATGGGGTACGGGTGGGGATTTAGGCTCTGTTTGTCCACTTGTCACCCCTGCAGTCTCTGTCTCTTTGCAGTCTCAAATGAAGTGCCAGAGCACCCGTGCGTGTCTCCGGTCTCAAACCACGTCTATGAGCGAAGACTGATTGAAAAATACATTGCGGAAAATGGGACTGACCCAGTGAACAACCAGCCGCTGTCTGAAGAGCAACTGATTGACATCAAAGGTATCAAGCAGATGGGAGCAGAGCTAGAGGTGTGACCTGGTAGATTCTCACCAGCTCCAGGGAGCTGGGCAGACCATTGCTACCCTGATTGCCTGAGCTCCCACAGCTCACCAAGCAATTGCCAGGTGGGCCTGACCATCACAGAAAGGGTTGGGGAAGGAAGGACACCAAGAGAATCTAGGAACCCTTATAAAAGGGGTGAATCAGTATTCATTTTATCATCACCGACACCCAAAATCTTTAGGATTTCCCCATAGTCCTTTTACTTGCCAGGCAAATCCAAAGTTTCCTGGGGAGGCAGGCCCACTCTCACCAAACTCTGTACCTTTCCCCCAAGGAGTTTGGCTCTCCTCTGGCTCCTTTCTGGAGATGCTTTTTCTCTTGACATGCCTTCAGCCTTTTTGAATGCTGCCTCTTCTTCCTCTCCCCTGTTGGAATGAGCTGGGTTTGGCTTGTATAGGCCAGAGTCCTCCCACTCCCAGCAGCCTCTGAGAGGACTGGTTAATTGGAGTCAGCTGCTTGGGGATTTCTGTTCCTCTCCATCCCATTGACAGTTCACAGTATCACAAGAATTGCATCACTGGGATTTGGGGGGGTCTCTGCTGTACCTGATACTGGCCACCATCCTAGGCAGACTATTGGGCTAGCTGGGCTACTAGCCTGATCTGGTGTGGTAGTAGTTGAGACACCAGCTTAGCTGCTGTGACCCAGTATGATGACTGCAGAGATATGGTAACAGCCTCATTTTGCAATGGGATTCTTCCACCAACAACTGATGTAGGCATAAAGTAGAGAATGAAGTGAGGGTGCAAATGGATCTGGATAAAGGGATGAGTGAGCGGGTGTGTTTGAGGGTGGGCAGTGGGGATGGAGAAGTAGGGATGCAGGAGACAGGGAAAGGGATTAATCCTCGCTGCTGAGGCTAACACCCCCATGTGTCTCATTCACAGTTGCCCACCCGATCCGGCCCAAGCCACCCTCGGCCACCAGCATCCCGGCCATTCTGAAAGCCCTTCAGGATGAGTGGGTAAGGGCTGTCATGGGGACAGTGTTGGGGGCCATTGAAGTGGGCAGCTGATGGGATGGATGCTGGGGCAGCGGAAAGAACAGGGTTCTGCTCTGATTGGGTGGGGGGACCCGCCCTCTTTTGTTGCTGAGGTTGGGTGGAGCCATTCACTCTACGTACCCAGGTGGGCGGAGCTTGCTGAGCTGGGGTGGGCAGAGCATTGAACCCTGGCTGTCTCCCTCACATTGCGGGTCCTTCCATAGGATGCTGTCATGCTGCACAGCTTCACACTCCGCCAGCAGCTGCAGACCACCCGCCAGGAGCTGTCGCACGCACTGTACCAGCATGACGCTGCCTGCCGCGTCATCGCCCGTCTCACCAAAGAGGTCACTGCTGCCAGAGAAGGTAAATCGGTGGGGGCAGGGGGTCTGACTGAGGAAAAGGCTGCAGCACCATGGGGACAGTCAGTCCAGGGAGGGATTCTGACTCTAATGCCCTGGGAGCAGGAGGGGGAGGAGCAGCTTGCGCCTCTGGAGCAGGCAGGGGTCAGTACTGATGGAAAAAGGTAGCTGTAACAAAACCTCTGTGGCACTCCTGTGAGCCTGCAGTTGGCTCCCATTTTAACCCATCGAGCTGCTGTTTGTGTCTCCGCAGCGTTGGCGACTCTGAAACCCCAGGCTGGCCTCATAGTCCCCCAGGCCATGCCGTCTTCCCAGCCCAACATCACGGTGAGTCCTCCCTGCACAGCTCTTTCTGTGTGTCTCCTGACTGTGCTCTCTCTCCTCCTCCTGGACTCATGGGCCTCTTCTTTCCCTGATCCAGGGTGCTGGCGAGCCGATGGATCTGGGAGAGTTGGCAGGCATGACCCCCGAGATCATCCAGAAGGTAAGGAGTCATCCGTCCCAGATTCACCCTTTGCTCTGCTGCAGGAGTGACTCTCATTCCTGCTTCCCATGAGGTCACTCCTTTTCCATCTCCCTGACCCATCTGTTGTGCCCTGGTGCTTGCATGGCGCAGGCAGTCAGATAGCTGCCCTCCTGTGCTAGCCTTTCGACTATTAGCGTCACATTTCCTGAGTTCACTTTCCTGTTTTCCAGCTTCAAGACAAAGCCACGGTGCTGACCACGGAGCGTAAGAAGGTGAGAGCCTGCTCCCTGAATCCCCTTCCTTCCTTGTGATGGGGGGCAGGATCTGGGGGGGCTTGAGTTGGGAGGGGACTCTCCATTGGAGCAGGGGTAAAGAAGCAGGGAGGTGAGCTCAGCGGTTTTGGAGGTCTCTATGGAGGGAATCTGTCCTGTAAGGAGGAGGATCTCTCCGCTCCCTGGGTGGGGGAGGCTGGGTGGGGGAAAGGCAGGGTGCTGGGTGCTCTCCCAGAAGCATAGTCATTTCTCTTTGGGTGCTCTTCCTTCTGCAGAGAGGCAAGACGGTTCCAGAGGAGTTGGTGAAGCCGGAGGAGCTCAGCAAATATCGACAGGTGGCCTCACATGTGGTGAGTTCGCTGATGCAGAGGGTTGAAGGTTAACTTGGGGTCTCAAACCTTACTGCTGGCAGTGAATGCCTTCCCTGGATGGCACAGTCCCTTATGCAACTACACTGGGCTGGGCTGTCCCCCTTCAGAACCTGGGCACGCTTTGTCACCACCCTGACATGGCAGCAGGGGGCGCTGTGCTGCTAGGGGATGGTCGCTGCTTCTCCCTCTTGGTCCACTGAGGCTCTGGAGTCTCCTCTCAGTAGGTGGGCCGTTAGCCCTGGTGCATCTCTTGGCACCTGGACCCTGAGCTGTCTCCTGCTTGCTTCTCCCATCATTGTTGGCCATTAACACTGCTGCTAATGATCGGAGCCGAGCAAGTGCTGGCTCGCAAGCACTGCAGGGGGGATATAACAGGGTGCGGAACAGATCTGGGTGGGAACAAAGAGCCCTGGTTATGGAATCTGTTTCCAGAGCTCTTTGTTAGGGTCCCTCCCTGTCTTGAGGGGCTCTTCCTGCTTGGCAGTGGTTCTGTCTGATCCCCTTCTCTTTGTACAGGGCTTGCACAGCGCCAGCATCCCAGGGATCCTCGCTCTGGACCTTTGTCCTTCCGACACCAACAAGATCCTCACAGGTAAGGCAACCGCCTCGGCGCCAGCTTCTCCCACTGGGCTGCCGGGGATTGTGGCCTCTGGGACCTACTGCTGATGTTCG